GGGTGGTTGATGGTTTTGATTCCCAGTCTATTTCTCAGGTTTTCGGCATGGCATTTGAAACAGCAATGCCAATGACAAGCGCTGCTAAATTATCGCAACTTGTGCCTGGAAATTCAATCCATCCCTGAGGTCAGAAGATGAGATGTCGAAGCTGTTTGCAGCTGCACAGCAGCAGTGCTGCCCTTACGCGTGTCTGTGCATGTGTGTGTGCGAGTCTTTCGATCCGTGTGTGTGTGTTGTCCCTTCGGGAATTTTGCCAGACTTAATTTCCTAGACCACTTGCCTGCTTGAGGGCGCTGGAAGCATTGGGCCTGGAAAGTCGCATGAGGCCAGGTCTGGGTGGAGATCGACACATCACGCAAGTCAAGCGCAGCAAGATGTTTTGTTCATTTTTCACAACTTGGACTGAGTAAGCAATTCCTGGTCACTTGGTGGATGGAATCAATTTTTGCAGAAACCTCACTGCTGCCATCCCTGGACTACGAATTCCCTGACTATTCATACGGTTACCTGAAAAATAGTAACAAAACGATTTGGAAATTTGATGCCCCCTGTTAGTAACTAAGATACTTGAATTCTGGGTCGAGATTACATATTTTAGGTTCCAAAGATTCCACCCCTTTTTCTGAACATTGATTGAAGCGTTGGCTCCTGCCAGGCCTATCCTTCCAAAGGCCCCGTCCGGACAGAGTGAGCGCGGGAAACCCAAGAAGCCTTCCCGAGCTGCAAAGGCTGAGAAGGAAGCCGCCTTGGCAAAAGCCAAGGCCAAAGGCAAGGCGAAGGCGAAAGGAAGAGGCAAATCAGCTCCATAAAATCCCAAAGCGGAGAATGGGGAACCCGGAAGCTGCAGACGCGGCTGAGTAAGTTGCATTGCTTATCCCAAAACTATCCACCACCAGTCGTGGTTTGGCTGGGCTTGTTTCCACGCCGTGCAGCGTGCAGCTTACTTGGCAATTTCAATCCAAGCCGGCTGGGGGGGATGTGATATATGTCAACCATGTTTCATGTTATATGTATTCTTGTGTATCTACAACACAATTGTTCATAGAATGGTTTGGTTGGTTATTGTTGCAAACCCCCCTTTTTAGCAAATCTTCGAGGGCTGCTCGTCTGACAGATGAGCCTGGCTTGTTTTTTTTGAAACAAGCATACTTTACCGTGCCTATATCCTTCACGCTTGTGTGGAGGCCAATCCATGTCCAGGGTTTAGGTTGAAACCTTTGTCATTGCACAAGGGACCAACGTAAAAGGGGTTCGAGAAGCAGAGCAAAAAGTCAAAGCTGTTGCGTCACTCGTCTCAAGGGTATCGGCCTCCCTCTGTTGCTGAGAAATATCCGTAGAAATCCAATGATGGATCTTAACTTAAGTTCTTTGGGGCAACAGCGAAGGTTATACCATCCCAACGGCAGCTTGCAACAGAAGGGAGCCCCAGTTGACGAACAACCGCAGCCAGGTGTCCGTGAAGAACGCGATGGAGGATTCGATGCCTTTGCAGAGGCTGTAGCTGACGGAGCCACTAGCTACTCTGAACCTGGAAGTTTTTAGTTTCTTTTGAAGGGCATCATACCCCCAATCAGATAGTTCAAAAAAATCGCATGTTGTAATATATAATATGTTGTACTAGGGGCCACCATGTTCATTTCAAGGCAAACGACATTGACTGGCAGTATTCTTTGCCAATGGAACCTAGGGTGTGGGAAAAAAGCATCTGGATGTGCACCCTTGAAAAAGCACAACCTGTTTGCGTTCGGAACGCGCTTTAAAAATTCGCGTTCCGGAATGCGCGTTCTGAATGGATCCTTTTTTCCAATAATCCAAAGTCGATGTATTTCCTGGGCCTGGACACTGAAACCTTTTCCCCCCAACAAAAAGATTTTGAGAGCGCTTATTCTTCTGGGCTCAAAATGGTGGATGAAGCCACCAGAAAGTTGATCTTCCCTTTTTTGGGTGAAGCAACAAAGGTTCTGGCCTCCACCAGGTTTGTGGGGCAAGTTAGGTTTTCCTTCCCGGATCCTTTTTGTCTCTGAAAGAAAAAGGTTCTGACCTCTCACAAGTTTTAGCGTAGTGCTATTAACAGAGGTCCAAGAAGACCTTGAAAAATTGTTGAAAAACTCTACGTGACACAGCGGATCCTTTTTGCAAGGAGCCAAAAAAGGATTGGGAAGCTTCTGGAGCCAAAAACCACCAAAATATTGCTGGATGGTTTGTTGTTCTTTTTTTGTGGGCTATCTAGGCATTCGCATAGGGAAGAAAACCTTTGAAGAACGCTGCTGAGGTACCATGCACAACAGCAGAGGCCATCCGCCGGGGCTACGCATCAAGCTGCCCAAGCGGCCCAAGTGGTTCTGGCTCTAATTTCGCTTGGAAGAAAAATTGTTCCAGAGCTACATGGAGATCGCTCAAAAGAGTGATGCGGGGTGTGAATGTAAAGGTTAGCACATACAACCATGTCACTGCTTCAGGGGATGTACTGCCCATGTCGTACATAGCCCCTACGGATATGCTGACTTTCCTTTTGGAGGAACACCCTGACTTGTTGGTGGGTGGGCTGCAAAGCCACCAAAACAGAGCAGAGAATCTAGGTGCATTCTGGCAAGCTTACAAGCTCCAGCATGCTGACCACAGAGTTTACCAGGAGCACCAAGACAGCCTGCAGACAGTTGTCCCCATAGCTTGGCACGGAGACGAAGGGCGCAGAAAGCGCCGTGGCAATACAGTCGTTGTTTCGTGTGAGGCAGTCATCGGTGTTCACACAGCTCTGCAGAAGAAGAGGCCTCATCCTTCTTGCGACTGTAAGGCCCAGGATGGCATCAAGCAGAAGTATGGCCCTCTGTCCAGAAAATTGCACGAGCACACATGTGACCTGCTGAAGAAGCAGTGGACAAACATGAAGGGGCATTCCTTCTTGCAGCATTTTGCTTTGTTTATGATACCAAGCTCTGTCCACCACGAGCACCCACAGGTTCTCATGGAGATGTTGAAACTGATCGCAGCCGATTTCCGGCTTTTGTTTTTCGAAGGCCTGACAGTACAAAGTCGGCATGTTTGCTTTGCAGTTGTCTCTGGGAAAGGAGACCTGAAATGGTTTTGCAAAATTGCGCTGGAGAGGTCATTCCAGAACCAGGGCGTCGTGACTGACATACCTTGTTGTCATGAGTGCCAAGCAGGAGAGCCTGACAAACCATGGGAAGATCTGCGGGAGCAGCCAGCCTGGGCGTTGTCTAGGTATACTCAACGACCATGGGCTCGACCTCCTCCCATGATAGGTGTGCCCTTTTCCGTCGCAGCGCCGGAGAAAATGTACAAAAGAGACCCCTTTCATTGTTTAAAGGTTGGTCTGTTGAGGGACCTGGCAGGTTCTTGCATCTGCTGGTTTGTGAGAAAAGGGTATTACGGAGAACAAGGAGATTTTGATGAGAAACTGACTGCTTGCCACTCCGTGTTCAGGCTTTTTTGTGCCACGACTGGACGCACAGCTTCTCTTCGAACCTTCAGCCGGGCATTCTTTATGTACCCGCGCTTCTCGGCCTACCCTTGGTGCAATGCCAAGGGGTCGGATGTTATGATACTACTCAAATTCATCACAGTGCAGTGCGTTGGATTTCACAACACACCTCTGGATCCAAGCCATGTACCCATCCTCAAGCTGATGAATCAAACATGCCATGCTGCCATCACCTTTTTTGATGGTCTGAATGGCCATGGGTTGTGGTTTTGGAGGGATTGCGCCATGGTGGTCTATGCCAGCCTCACCAAACTGATCAATGGTTATGCCACACTTGCTTGTTGGACCCTGAATGATGTCAACTTCAACGGGTGGGCGATGAAACCGAAACTTCATTTTGTCAAACACTACCACCTTGAGATTCATGAGATGCTGATGAGCGGTTGCGAGGTCTTCTACAACTGCAATCGGGATAATTGCGAAATGTGTGAGGACTTCATCGGGCGAATATGCCGCCTGAGCCGGAGGTTGGACAGTAGGAAGATCGGTGAGAGAGTCCTCAATTGTGCGCTCTTAAAACTTGAGCTCTTGCATAAGCGGTTTGTAAAAACCAACAAGCTTAAGTGATGGCTACATGTGCACAGCCGGCAATCGCCAGAGTCAAAAAAGGTAGGTGCAACCTGGGGCTAAGAGTTCTAAGTTCTCACTACACAAAGCGGTGTGGTGCAAACAGGTCTGCATGCTAGTGAACCAATTGCTTGCAGTTGATTTTTTTGATTTGCTGGTTGCAACCTTGTGGGAGCGGCGACGGCTGCAAGCAGGAGTGCCCAAGGGTTAACTATTCCAGAAACCCTTGCCAAATATGAAGCCACAAGGAGGGAACGTTTTTTGAGGGAGCGAACGTTTTTTAAGGGAAACGCCAAAAAAAAAATGGAATTCAACTTCGAGCGATAATTTTGCATACCCGGAGGTTCCAGGTATATATATATATAATGTTATATTATGCCGTCGTGTATATATATATATACACATTATCATATTTACAGTCATATTAAAAAATGAATAGTATATATATACTATATTATATACAATATATACTATATATATGATACTACAAATTGTATATGATATATATATATATATGCGGGTCACGGTGGGCTCATCATCCTATTCGTAAGGATGCAACATGAGACATGATGAGACATGTTTAACCCCACGAACCACATAGACAATTCTTGGATGTAGAAGTGTACCCTTTGGCATTTTTTGCATGACTGGAAAATCAACGCCTTTACAGTAAATGAAAAAAAAAGGGGTAGTGTAATCAACAAGAAATGGTAATTGTCTACACAGCCAGGATGAACTTTTGAAGAGACTTGGCAATCTAGACTCGAGCCGCTCGCAGTTGTCAAAAACCTATGAAAAGTCCCCCAGCTTGTACTCTAGCCCATGCAAGATTCGAAGTAGCATGGATTTTCCATTTCCATCTTTGATTGCTGAAGGACCAAATTCAGGGGCGAACCCTTCGCCGCCGCTACGTGAGTGCCAAAGGGGCGGCTGAATTTCTCCCAGGCTTTCTTGCTATTTTTGCACGCTTTCCTCGGTTCGGACACCGCTGGCATTGACCTCACTTCTCCAGTGTTCCTCGCAAATATGTTGTATTGGTGACATCATGTTACCAAATAATTTGCAAATAAGTTCATGTCAATATATCTAATTATATACAACCTCATTGGTCTTCATCACATTATTGTTTGTTATATATATATATATAATTTTATATAATTATATATATATATATTATTACCTCATTCCTGTATATATCACCATTTCTGCTGAAAAATCCGTTCATCATCAGCTCCCTTGCTGCAGCCTTGGCCTTCCAGGGCCAAGGTTCCCCAGGATGAACTTCAGGGCTTTGGAGTGCTCGTACATCATCAAGCGCATCAGGGGTCGTGCATGTACCTCCTGGGAAAAGGCCAAACAAAATTGGGTGAGATCATGTGGATCTTAATGTATTGGTCATTTCTTCTGCTTGGTCAGTTTGGTGTGGTATATTTCCCTGGTTTTGTCGGTTGATATCTCCATTTTGTCGGTGAAAGACCCTAGTTTGCCGAGGGTTTTTGATGTTTTTGCCAGCCCAAAATCGAACAAACTGCCCCAAAGAAGCCTGGACATGAACTGGTTGGTGGTTGACCTACCCCTCTGGAAAATGATGGAGTTCGTCAGTTGGGATGATGACATTCCCAACTGCATGGAAAGTTATAATCCATTCATGTTCCAAACCATCAACCAGTGAAATTTCCGCAAAGTTGGGGTTTGTGCTGCATGAGATGAAGATGATGAAGCCGCTGTCCTTGGTTTTGATGTCCGCCTTGTCATTCTCTTTCAACGCGCGCAACAATTCCTGCAGCGTTTCGCGTTTCGCAAGACTACTGCATAACCATCCTCTCCAGCGTCTCAAGAAATCCCCTAATGGTTGGTTGCTTGTATAGCCCACGAACTATATCCCTGTAGTTGGTCTATTCTACATGTCCCCCATTCCGTTTGGTTCAATCACCCATACGGGGGTTTCCCATGGGGTCATGGGGGAACCCAATAGCTGGTTGATTTCCTATAAAAATGGGAAAGTCCTACAAAGTACTACAAAAATGGATGAAAAATACTAGAAAAATGGATGAACAAAAATAGGAAACCCAATAGTCATGGGGAATTCCTACAAAAATGGATGAAAACCGGGGGTACAAAAATGGAACTGCCGGACCTTGGTCTGTCCATCACCGTTCTTGCCCAGCTCATCAAACCATCGACTCATGGCTGCGAAGGCGTGCCTTGGTGCAATCCAACAAGGTGCTCGCCCCCCGTTGTGCAATGTTCAGTTTAGATTCACCCCATGAATACGACATGTTATGTTTGTATCATAAACAATTCATGAACCATAGTTATTGAAGTTATAAACTGTTATAAGCCAACAGTAGCTATCATTCTGGGAAAAACCATAGCACTGTTGGTGGGTTAACTATCATTTAAAGTTGGGAAAAATTCCATGGGGAGCTCCAACTGGCTCCCCATGTTTACTAGGGAATGTGGATCTATACCTACAATTATATATATATACATATATATATATATATGGGTAAATTATAGTATTTCACTAACCTGAATTAAGGCCATTTGGGGATGATTCCCCTTATTAACCATGATTCCAGGGTTCGGGAGAACAGGGTTCGGTCGCAACATAATTTACCCAGATTAATCAGAAATTCCCATGAAACCCCATTAAATCCCAGTAAATCACCATAAAATCCCATCAAATCCCATCAAATCCCATCAAATCCCATTAAATCCCATTAAATCACCATAAAATCACCATAAAATCACAAAGAAAAAGGAAGATAAAGAATTAAGCTCTTGCCTTATGGATCCCCCATAGCTCCGAACCGCTGCCTCCGTTCACCATTGGATTTTTGGCCAAGGCTTCTTTTGGGGTTTACCATCTGGTTATGACTAACATAGCGAACTGGGAAAATCCCAACCATAAATGGAGGTTTAGTTCGCTGGGAAAATCATCAATGGGCCATGTTCCACCTATTGCAGCTGATGTTCATTGATTCTCTGTGTTTTTTTCTGTTCGACAGCGTGAAAATAGAGTGTTCAAAAAGACCCATTGCAAGTCAAATCAACGTGTTTTATGGTCACAAAAACACTATCACTATAAGTAAAACAATCTATAATAATAATAACATCATCACCACCATCATCATCACTACCAACATCATCATCACCATCATCAGCATGAATAAAGCTCATCCAATCGTTCGAACACATATCCAACATTAACATTATATAGTTCAGTCATACAAACTATATTTATACACCAATAGAGTAATCCCAAATAAATTGGTTTCTACGAGTATAAATTATTTGACCCAAATATGTACCGCAATGATAAATCCAATAAAACAAAATAATCCATATGTATTCATTCCCAATGTATTGTACTCACTATTTAACCCACATAATAAATCCATGTAAATCCCATATTGATGTTAATCTCAAATATATTACGCATATTCATATTGTACTGACCCCTATGGATCCAAACACTGTCTGAGAAGCTACGGCTAACCCCCTAAATCATAACCCAAATAGGAAGGTACGGCTGGATCTATAGGGGACTCTTACCCTCCAGTATTTTTTTACCGTTCGACCCTGGCAGTTCTCGGTGTTGGTTCCGATGAGTTTCCAGTCAAAAATCCGCCGACCCCGGCAGACGCAAGGGGGAGCGCGCCAGGGAATAAGACATTCGACCCTTTAGGCAGCAGGCAGCAGCAGGGAGCAGCAGGCAGCAGCAGGCAGCAGCAGGCAGCAGGCAGCCGCAGGCAGCAGGCAGCCGCAGGCAGCAGCAGGCAGCAGCAGACACCAGCAGGGAATTCAGAAGGGACGTTAGGCAGTTTTTGTGGGTAAGTTTGAGCACGGTTTCGGCACGCAATTAGGTGCTGTTTTGCCCAAACAACAGCTGCAGGAGACAGAAAAAGAGATTTTTTCTAGGAATTCAGAAGGGACGTTAGGCAGTTTTTGTGGGCAAGTTTGAGCACGGTTTCGGCACGCAATTAGATGCTGTTTTGCTGTGGCGAAGGGTCCGTTCTGGAGGCCTGATGCTTGCAGCTTGGAGCCACCAAACAACAGGTGCAGGAGACAGAAAAAGAGAGATTTTTTCTAGAAATTCAGAAGGGACGTTAGGCAGTTTTTGTCGGTAAGTTTGAGCACGGTTTCGGCACGCAATTAGGTGCTGTTTTGCTGTGGCGAAGGGTCCCTTCTGGAGGCCTGATGCTTGCAGCTTGGAGCCACCAAACAACAGCTGCAGGAGACAGAAAACGAATTTTTTTCTAGGAATTCAGAAGGGACGTTAGGCAGTTTTTGTGGGTAAGTTTGAGCACGGTTTCGGCACGCAATTAGGTGCTGTTTTGCTGTGGCGAAGGGTCCCTTCTGGAGGCCTGATGCTTGCAGCTTGGAGCCACCAAACAACAGCTGCAAGAGACAGAAAAATATTTTTTTTCTAGGAATTCAGCAGGGACGTTAGGCAGTTTTTGTGGGTAAGTTTGAGCACGGTTTCGGCACGCAATTAGATGCTGTTTTGCTGTGGCGAAGGGTCCGTTCTGGAGGCCTGATGCTTGCAGCTTGGAGCCACCAAACAACAGCTGCAGGAGACAGAAAAAGAGATTTTTTCTAGGAATTCAGAAGGGACGTTAGGCAGTTTTTGTGGGCAAGTTTGAGCACGGTTTCGGCACGCAATTAGATGCTGTTTTGCTGTGGCGAAGGGTCCGTTCTGGAGGCCTGACGCTTGCAGCTTGGAGCCACCAAACAACAGCTGCAGGAGACAGAAAACGATTTTTTTTCTAGGAATTCAGAAGGGACGTTAGGCAGTTTTTGTGGGTAAGTTTGAGCACGGTTTCGGCACGCAATTAGGTGCTGTTTTGCTGTGGCGAAGGGTCCCTTCTGGAGGCCTGATGCTTGCAGCTTGGAGCCACCAAACAACAGCTGCAGGAAGTAGAAAAGGATATTTTTCTAGGAATTCAGAAGGGACGTTAGGCAGTTTTTGTGGATAAGTTTGAGCACGGTTTCGGCACGCAATTAGGTGCTGTTTTGCTGTGGCGAAGGGTCCGTTCTGGAGGCCTGATGCTTGCAGCTTGGAGCCACCAAACAACAGCTGCAGGAGACAGAAAAAGAAATTTTTTCTAGGAATTCAGAAGGGACGTTAGGCAGTTTTTGTCGGTAAGTTTGAGCACGGTTTCGGCACGCAATTAGGTGCTGTTTTGCTGTGGCGAAGGGTCCGTTCTGGAGGCCTGATGCTTGCAGCTTGGAGCCACCAAACAACAGCTGCAGGAGGTAGAAAACGATTTTTTTTCTAGGAATTCAAAAAAACGTTAGGGACGGTTTTGGGACGTAATTCGGTGCTGTTTTGCTGTGGCGAAGGGTCCCTTCTGGAGGCCTGATGCTTGCAGCTTGGAGCCACCAAACAACAGCTGCAGGAGACAGAAAACGAATTTTTTTCTAGGAGTTCAGAAGGGACGTTAGGCAGTTTTTGTGGGCAAGTTTGAGCACGGTTTCGGCACGCAATTAGATGCTGTTTTGCTGTGGCGAAGGGTCCGTTCTGGAGGCCTGATGCTTGCAGCTTGGAGCCGCCAAACAACAGCTGCAGGAGGTAGAAAAGGATATTTTTTCTAGGAATTCAGAAAAGACGTTAGGGAGTTTTTATGGGTAAGTTTGAGCACGGTTTCGGCACGCAATTAGGTGCTGTTTTGCTGTGGCGAAGGGTCCCTTCTGGAGGCCTGATGCTTGCAGCTTGGAGCCACCAAACAACAGCTGCAGGAGACAGAAAACGAATTTTTTTCTAGGAATTCAGAAGGGACGTTAGGCAGTTTTTGTGGGTAAGTTTGAGCACGGTTTCGGCACGCAATTAGGTGCTGTTTTGCTGTGGCGAAGGGTCCCTTCTGGAGGCCTGATGCTTGCAGCTTGGAGCCACCAAACAACAGCTGCAAGAGACAGAAAAATATTTTTTTTCTAGGAATTCAGCAGGGACGTTAGGCAGTTTTTGTGGATAAGTTTGAGCACGGTTTCGGCACGCAATTAGGTGCTCTGCTGCTTGGCCTGATCAGGCAGACTGCCCAACTTTTCGGGGTCGGCGGCAGGGGCGGCAGCCCTTATATAGTCTGATGTTCAGGGTCCAATTGTTACCCTCTGGTAATTTAACATAGCTATGGAAAATGGTGATTTATAGTGGATTTTCCCATTAAACATGGTGATTTTCCCATTAAACATGGTGATTTTCCATAGTTATGTTAGTTTACCAGAGGGTAACTTACCAGACTATTCGTCCCAACAAAATTCTGAGAAGGTGCTTTTTTTAAACCCCAATGCCATCATACCCCAGTCATACTTCCCAGGTACTTAGTTGGATCCATAGGAAACTATTCATCTCAATCAATTCATAACCTTTCAGTTTGTTTTGTTATTTTCATATAAATTACCATGTTCTTATTTACCATCGATTTTTATAAGAAAATAACAACATGATAATTAGAATTACCATGTTCTTATTTACCATATTTTTATTTTACCATAGATTTTTTTACCATAGTTTTTATTTACCATGTTCTATATAGCATTTATATCTAGCATTTTTGGGTCATCCCAACCCACTTCGTAGAACTCCGTCGAAGCCTCAACGCCTCTTCGAAAGCCCGGTGGCGGCGTATCCTTCTCGATCTGCGCCAAGGTGGAGCGTGGCGTGATGAAGCTCTTGCGCACCAAGGGAGCGGCATACCTCGACGGAGAAAGCAAGATATCCAACGGTTACCCTGTTAGTTAAGTTAATCCTATATACCTCAGGGATGACCAATAGCCATCAATAGCCATTAAATGGGATATAATGGGATATACCCTCTGGTAAATTAACATAGACCCTGGTAGTTGTTGGGGTTGGAAGATTAGTGAAACCTCTAAAAATGACGGTGATTTTGAGGGTCAACAAGTTAATTTACCAGAGGGTAACCGTTGGCTGGTGCGATACTTATTTAGTATCATAGTAGTTGCTAGTTCAATTAGCAATACTAGTTCAATAGTAATAAGTGTTGCTATCCCATGCTATAACTAGTGTTGCTATCCCATTAATTAGATAACTGGTTTTATAATGTTTTATATGTTAGTAATACTGATGTGGATGGCAACGCGAAATCCAAATCACCAGTTGAAAACGGTGGTAAACATGCCATTATTTTGTTGGGGTGAAAAAGCATCCTTTTGGTGATGCAGGATTTCGCAACCGGGTGAAAAAGCATCCTTTTGGTGATGCAGGATTTCGCAACCATCCACAGTACCAACCAACAATAAGGATTGTTATACATTCGACCAACAATTATAGAACTAAGTATAACTAGATTACAACTAGGATATATAGTGATTAAACAGTGATAACTAGGGATATATCAACAATAAGAATTAAAAAGATGGTAATAATTTTGTATCGAATTATATCCATAATAAATACAGTACATAGTGCTGGTAACTAAACAGATCTAAACAGTGATGTTGGCAAAAACTGTGTTGTAGATTCTTTGATACAGTTGCACAAATACAAAAGGCAACTTAATCATCCAAAAAGGGTGACTAAACAATCACAGACTCCCCGCAAAAAAAAAAACATGAGGATTTCAAGTATACTGAAATAAGCTCGAGCCAGTGAAGGAGTAGGACTTGTCACATGAACAAATGAAGATAACTATGATATAAACCGAATCTTTACCCCCCGATACATAGCTATGGACAGCGATGCGAGTTTCCCTTGGAAATTATTTAAACATTGTGTATTTGTTGTAGTTTTTGTTAGTTTGCTGGAGCGTATGGGTGAATTTCTTGACAGAGAACTGTGGGTTTTCAGATTAAAGGATAACTCTTCAGCGGTGTAATTCTGTTCAAGGCGAGGTATAGGAAGCTGCATTCAAGAAAACACATATTATTATCTGGTTGGTGGTATACCTACCCCTCTGAAAAATATGAGTTCGTCAGTTGGGATGATTAAATTCCCAACTGAATGGAAAGTCATAAAAATTCCATGGTTCCAAACCACCAACCAGTCATATATATATATATATGTATAGTTTATAGTTTAATAGCCATATTATAGCCAAAGTTTGTTCTAGAAAACTATTATCATAAACTAGGGTTTGTTTTCAGTTTACATCAATTGCTGTGACAGCAAAAAAGGGGTTTAGATCCCACAGATCCTTTCAGAAGTGTATTGCATGGATGGATGTTTTCACCTCATGAGGTCCCAGAAGTTATTGTAGAATAATAGCCATAGGATCCATGGTGCTGCTATGGTAACATGGATCCCATCAATATACCCCATAAACATGTTAGCATATATACCAGCACCATGGATCCGTCATGGGATATGACTCATATGACATATTGTACCCACAATCGGACATTCCCCCATAACTTGTGAAACTTGGGCTTGGGGATGGTCGATCTATATAATTACCCCAGCATGATGACAAACTAAAACCACTTTGGAAGGTATAACATATAGCAGTATAACATAGTATAACATTATTCCATATTATTCCTAGAGTCTTGACTTCAGTAGCTGAGTTCACCTGCGGTTAAAATCTGTCGTTAAATGTGCCTAAATTGCACGTCACTGCCTGTCTGGAAATAAAGCATACGCGGCACCATGAGGTGCCCGATTTGAGTGGTGCCATGCACTGTCTCACCTGCATGGTTAAGAGCTCGTAAAAATCCGGGCTCCAAACTGTCTGCACCGAAGAGGCTCTCTGCAAGTTGATGAACGGTCATAGTCATCGCCAGCTGTTTGTTGAGCCCTGTGACATGATTGGGCGGAGGAATATTGTCCTCATCACTGGAGTCATCAGGGGGCACCACTGCCAACGGAGGGTCGTTGAGTTGGCTCGGGCGCCAGGGATCAGCCCATGGGTCCCACTGCATGATGAACAGGCCCAAAGCAAATGTCACGGGACACAGCAACTGAAATGCAGACTCAATGCAGAAAGGCGAGTCAATGAAACATGGCACACACACACGAAAGAAATTGAACGTAGGAAAAGTGCTCACTCGAGATGAACTGAAGCTGCTTCCTATGGTCTGAAGCACCAAGTCTGGGTCCACGTTCAACCCGAAACAGTTTCTCTTCATCTTTGGTAATCAACAAAGATGACTGGTTGGTGGTTTTAACCATCTTGAAAAATATGAACGTCAATGGGAAGGATATTCCGATTATCCCATATATTATGGAAAATAAAAATCCTGTTGGAAACCATTAATCATCATTAATCATCATTAATCATCATTAACCATCATTGACCATCATTAACCATCATTAACCATCATTAACCATCATTATCCCATTAACCAACAAAGATGAACATGTTCCAAAACATGGGTGTGTCACTCCATTTACGGCCATGAAATTTGGAAAAAACGATGGAACACCCAGTGGATTCACAGAGTTTTGTTTCCCAAAATCTTCCTCCAACGAACTTCAGCAGATCGTCTACCCTCCGGTCATTTGTCACATAGCGAACTGGATTTTTTGCCATCAATCAGTACCTATGACAAATGGCGAAAAAATCCAGTTCGCTATGTGACAAATTACCAGAGGGAGCCAGAGGGTATATACCATTCATAATCCATTAAAGCACATTTTGAAGTCCCATTAAATCATCATTAAATCACCATAAAATGTCCATACAATCAGCATCAAAGTCACCATGAAATCACCATCAAATCCTATAACCGAGTGGCCAGATGGGCGATTCGCCTAAGATCTTGTCACAGTAAGGCCTTGTCCACTCGTAGCGAGACGACAGGACCTGGACAAGGATGCGAAAAATGAATTTGAGGGGGAATCGATGGGATTTACATGTGATTCATAATAGCTAAGTTGCTTGGTAACTAACAGAAATTAACAGAACTGAGGTTTATTGCAGACGTGTCTATGATTGATGGGGTTAACCAAGAATCATACCTGGGAAAAAAAAACACCTTGCGCCGCCCAGTTGTTTTTAAACGATTTTGAACATGTGCAACGTATCCAAAACCTGGGGCAAGATGCCATTTAATTTAGATGATGATAAACAGGGTCTGTCTAAAATGATGAGAACGCCCAAAAATCAAGTGGGAGATGGTCACCATTAGTTCTCCAAATACGAATATGGGGATAAAAATAAAAAACATCTCCTTTTCAGACATACCCATATTATGAAAATTAAAAAATAACCCAAGCATATCGGGAAAGAAACATTTGATGATGACAATGATCATCATCGTCATCATCATCATCCTCGTCGTCGTCGTCGTCGTCGTCGTCGTCGGTCGTCGTCGTCATGACTTATTCAAGTGACGCGTACATCGACTAGTTTATTTCATGTTCATGGTTTAAGTCACTATTATCAACAAAAAACACATATGATGATGTATGACGATAGATGTATATATATATATATATATATGATGCAAGATGTTGATATCTATATATATATATACGTATATATACATACGGTTGTTTTTAATTGTTATTAAATATTATCAAACATGGATCTCCCCATCTGCGCCTGGCTCACCTCTTTCCAAGCCGGCGGCCAGCTGAGCAGCTGCTCCACAACGACATGGAGATCCAAGAGAAACCTCGAGAGACCGAGGTTGAAAAAAGTCGTGGGATTTTTGGTGGATCTAAATGGGTAAGTTATGATAGGTTGTAGGATTTTATAGGAATATAATTATCTATAGGACCTATAGGATGATCTATAGAGACAATTTGATGGGATATGAGATGATCTAGTCAGTCTCAAATGATTTTAGGAATGTTATGAGACAATAAATGATATTTTTATAGGAATATCATGCGATATTTTTGTGGATAGTCATTTGAAGCCGGGTTTTCCTTTATGGGTTCGTCCTTTAAAACATGTGCTACCACAATGTTGGACACTGTTTCTGGTGGAAGATGAAATTTCACAATCCTGGTGAAATGGGTCACTAGCCACACCTGGACCTGGGTTTTCTTGATTATTCTTGACTCACGGCAACAAAAAATAACCCAAAAAAACCTTGCCAAGCTTTCCAAAGAAATCACCCAGGCTTTCCCCATGTTGGGACCATTGCGAGCAACATTTCCCCTGTGAAGTCGGCTCCGTTCTCCGAGGCTTTTCTAAGGCCTGCCACCGAACCGGAGGCGAGCCAAGACGAAGCTTTCGTAGGGCCGAAAAACGACATCGCCATTGGTTGGTGAGTGAACATACCCTCTGGTAAACTAACATAGCTATTGAAAATGGCCATTTATAGTGGATTTACCCATTGAAAATGGTGGATTTTCCATAGCTATGTTAGTTTGCCAGAGGGTAACTCCAATTTCGCCATGGCTGTTGATACTTAACTTATAACATCTTATAACTATAGTATTCAAGGGATTTATAAACCAACATATAAGTGGAGGGTGCCACATTGCCGCAATCTCAAAAATGGTTCAAATGTTCAATCTCCGCCAGTCTTCACCAAGCATCTTCAGCAACAGTGGAGAATGATTCAGCCCAGCTTCAACCATGGCCACTCTCTGATACCCTTCACGCGTTTCTGGTTGGTCAACTAATATATTCCCAGCAACATTGCAACATATTAAGTTGTACTAATCTACCCATCACCAAGTGACCTACCAAAATATATCACATGATTTCCTGATTATATTCAAATATATGGTTTGTTTCGTATATATTGTTCCTGGATTCTTTTTGGTCAACTTTATATTATATATATATATGTATACATATGTTCATATATTCCTGCTACATCCATTAAATATATATATGTATATCATTATCCAATATATTTGTCCATATGTAACTGTGTATACATATATATATATACATACATATACATATATATACATATATATATATACATACATATATATATATATACATATTCCTGTTCCTGAATTATATCCATATAATTAACATATATAATATATTGTCTTCTATATGATTATATATTCGATAAACGACCTATCCTGTTCCTGTTCCTGTTCCATATTCATATGTATATCTATATGTATATCTAGATGTATATCTATGTATGCAAATATATATATATATATATATATATTAAGGTTTCCTGAAATAGGGGTACCCCTCAAATCATCCAAATTTAGATCATTTGTGTACTGAACCGCATGGTGACTTGGGGATCCCCAAGAAACTCCCGGGAAACTCATGGGGAACAGAAAACTCTATAGACTCTATAGTTTTGCTTTTTTTTCCCATAGACATGTATTTATGTAAATATATATATATATAGAGAGAGATAGATATTGAATTGTATGTGTATAAATATATATATGGTTGGTGGTATACCTACCCCTCTGAAAAATGAAGGAGTTCGTCAGTTGGGATGATGACATTCCCAACAATTATATGGAAAAATAAAATTCATGTTCCAAACCACCAACCAGATATAAATGTTGGTGAAATATCAATCCCAGCCCTACCTTCCAGCAATTCCTTCACGTCGGGATAGCAGAAGACCGAGGGCTGACCACGGTTCATGGAGCAGGCCTGTCATGGCAAGGTGTGGGTCCTCAAACATGGCTAGGTGGGAAATCTTCCCCATATGCTCCATGGTGCTGGAATATTTACCAACATGTGCCCTAAAAATGACCCTAATATAGGTAAATATACCATACATGGAGCATATAGGTTCTATAAACATGGTGTTTTTAATGAGAACATATCGAAAAAAAACTTTGTGTTTAATGGGAACATATGGAAACAAATTAGAAAACACGGGAAAAAACATCTATAAATCGATGTTACTGGATATTCTGCACATTTTTTCCAAAAAGTTAGTGCATATGTTTATCATTTAGTAGCATTTAACTCAACTTTATCTTTTTGGAGACTTCGATCATGCATATGTTTCCCGTCCAAAATGCTACGGCTAAGGCTCACCGGTCAATCATCAGCAACAACCATCAGGGTCAAAACTCTGGTAATTATTATAATGTACAAAAAGAGCTGTGAGATGCTATGGATTTTAATTTATCAAAAGAGCTATGGGAGTTGTAAGTGTAGAGTTACCCGCTGGTAAACGTTTACATAACTATGGAAAATCACCATTTTTCATGGGTAAATCCACTATTTCTATGGCCATGTTCAATAGCTTTTTGTTAGTTTACCAGAGGGTATAGATGTAGATGGCCCCACATCATCTGAAAGAGAAGCTATTGACCCACCAAAATCCCTGCCGGAAATTCCAACTCACCAGCCATGTAGATCCGGTTCCGGTTCAACATCCGGTTTTCACCCACGGGTTAAACCCAGATCTATGTCAGTTGACCCTACGTTTGGGTGACGAAATCCTGAGTTGGCCTCAAATCCCAACAAAAAAAATACACTGGTCTACAAAACTCCCTTGTGGTCAACCCCTGTTGTACCATTGTCATAAAGTTTTAATATGTTTCAATCCATGTATGATTGTTGGATTACAACATGTATATACCATGATCGTTCCCTATATGTTTATCTCAACATATCTCAACACATCTATATCAGTGTAGTTTCTTAATTGTTAGATCAGCCATTCAGAAACCTCATCCCCTACCTATGCACCTCCCCGTAGGAACTGATGACTTCTCAAGAAGCGTTACAGTATCAATTACCAATCGGGATGATTCTTCAAGTAAATGCCCTCCCCTCCCAGGTAGTTGATTCATGTGTATGTAAATACATATATATATACATACATTAGTACATCTATATAACATATATATATAATATATGTATCATTATGTATCCATGCCTTGTAGCATATTAGTTAAAATGTTACAATGGTACTACAGTAAACTAACAATCCCGCCAGTTTCCCCAGTCAATATCAACATTCCGTGAATATCCACGAGTCGTTGATTAAATCATATTAAATCGTGAAATCCCTATTGAATGGGTGGTTTCTATCCCTGCTAAATCCCGGAGAATTCTCATAAAAACAGCACAAAACCATGGTAAACCCATCAAATTCCCATAGCTATCATATGGTTGGGCAGCTTTGTAGCTCCTCGGCGCCGAATTTGCCAAATAATATGGATTTTCATAGCTTCTTTGCTCCCTCCTGACCAGGGGATAATAAATCAGTTCCCCCCAAACAAATCTATAACATCACCAAACAACTCTGTATAAAAAAAGCAAATAAAACTCCATAAACATCATTATAAACTCCCGGGAACATCACCCACAAAATGCCAAAACAATTCCCGGGCGCCTCGTTGAAGACCTTTTCGGTCGTCTTTCTCCAGGGTGGGCCTTGCTTCGCGAAGCCGCCGCCCATTCCAGGAATGCCTTGGCAGCTTCGCCGGGAGGCGAATGGATTGGTTGGAAGATCTACAGGAAACCATAGATGTTCCAATTAAATATGGGGCTGTCCGGTTAAAATTAAGTCCCACCATTGATTTATAAAGTTTAGGAGACTTAAGGTATAACTCCAATTTCAGGGTTTATGATACTTGGTGGGATACTTGGTGGTTTCATCCCACGAATCGTGAGGTTACGGTTACACTGGTGATTTCGGTAGGCTAAGTAGGGGCGATGTCCACTTACGATTCCTGGGTAGTTCACCACCAAGCACGGCAAGATTGTCACACATCAATCATGTCTTGAAAAGATATATGGGTTGGTTAATTCAATAGTGTCTTTAAATATATTTTGATGCTTAATCAAGGAGACCCCAATAGATGAATACTTGGATCCAATACATTCTAATGTATTCCACTGGGTGGTATTTAATATATGGTATTGTAATGCGAAGGGAAAAGATGGGAAACCGGATTGCACACAAAGGTCTATCATCATTTTCCCCAATAGATGTAAATGGGGGGGAGCGGATCCCTTATTTTTTGACAAACCCAAAAATACCCAAAGTTGGTTATAATCCCATTGCATCCCCTCAAATACTCTCATGATATTCCCATTCATTCCCATCTCATAGGATTCATGTATGCTATATATGGTAACATTTATCATTAATATACCCCCAATGTTAGCATATATACCATACATGGATGATATGGGCATTGCATCTCATCAAATCTCATGATCTCCCCCACCTAAATCTCGGGCACGTCTTTGTCGCTTTCCCGCTTTCCAACATCCCCAGGACGCCAAAGCACCGCCCGGCATCTTGGGCATTTGATGGGGCTTCCCTTCGACAAAGGCAATGCACGCGGCGAGGACGGCGAAGCGCCATGGCGACATGGTGAAGGATAACTCGTCGAACTCGTTTGAACCCGGGGTAACATCAACTAAACATCACTGGGGGACTTCCTGGTTTTAATAGTGTTTGATGGTGTTTGATTCTGGGTGCAACATTGAATACTGACTCATGGTTCAGTCTAACCAGGGAATTTTGCTCTTGCTTTAGACATGCTGGCCTTTTGGCTTTCCGAATCGGGGCGGTTTGCTGGATTAAAGGGCATCCACGGACCCACGGACCTTTCATGCCAAACAAAAACTAGAAAAACTGGCTCAAAATGTGCTGCTTCCTGGTCTTTTCAAGCTTGGCCCTCAGAAAGCTTGGGGCCTCTGCATCCTTTTCACAGCCAAAAGCTGCCGGACACCAGATGCCACGGTCACAAGTTTCAATGGTTAGTGCTCCCCAGTGAAATGTTGGTTTCCCTCCATGAAAATGTGCTTAATACCTACCAGGTAGGTATTGAACCCAACAGTTATCTTCCTATTGAACCACTGAAGCAACTTAGCTTGGGGTACCACCTTGTAGGTATCAACAAGTCAAAGTATATGTAAACCAGCAGCAACACTTTGCGGTCAGCTTTAACCAAATGGATAAGGGTGTCAAACCCTTATCAAGCTGTTCCTGATATTCAAGGCATTTGTGGGACTTCAAAGATGTTGATGATTGTTGATGATAATTTTGTGGCAAACATCTTGCGGGAAAGACACCCAAGCTTTTTGCTGATGACCAACATAGACTCGCAAGACAAATCTGACTGAGATGTCTTTTCAACATGCATCTTTGGAACTTTGTGTGAGATATCCTTCTCAAACATTCCTTCTTTCGGGGTCCTTCTCTACATTTATTTGCGATATCGGCCAGGAAGCTAAAGTAGAGGCTGTTGGCGTTAGCCCAAATCCAAATGTAGGGTTGGTGAAGCGAGAATGACATTTCAAATCATGGGTCAGTGTTTTGGAATTTCCGTCCAAATTGAGATAACACATAAAACAATATGAACAAACAAAAGTGAAACATAGTGAAACCCATATCAACTTCAGCCATTCGGCAGTTCCTGCCTTGTCATCCTCAAAGTCCCTCAGCAGCTGGCGGCTGGGCGGCCCAAACCAATGTGTTTGCTTTCTTCGAATCGTTAGCCCCTATTTTTTTAAAGGGCCCCGGGCCCCGGGGGAAGGAATCTATTGAATTTCAAGGTTTCAACATGTCCTGTGCTTTGGATCATGTTTCATGCTTTTCCGGTGGTGGACAAGCTTTATTTGAGGCCCTTGCGTGTCCTTCTTCATGCTTTGTTCCAATGCAATGATAGTTTGTCAGCTCCTTCAACTCCCCCTCTCTCTCTCTCTCTATCTCCTGGATACGTGGCCATATACATAGGATCCATGTATGGTATATATATGCTATTATGTGCTAACATTTGGGGGATATTGATGGTAAATGTTACCATATATAATTATAGCATACATGGATCCTATGGGATATACATAAAACCAAACTATATTTAAAGCCACACAAGCGATGGTTTCAAAACTATTCAAAAGGATTTGTGGTGATGTCCGTCATATCATCATGGCGTCGTTTGCAAAGTATCCAAAATCTATGGCGTCCTGTCACAGAAAATTCCAAAGCAGTCACTTCAAAGCACCGTGCGGTCTTTTTTGACTGTCAAAAAATCCGAGGATCCAGGCCTGGGGTTTTTTTCAGCGCCTGTTGTTGTGCACTCCCCAAAAAAACGTGTTTTGATCCTGGACTTGATATGAAAGGGTGAGCTGCATGCCCCCGAGAATTCAAACTCACAGTCATCAGCACCTGAAAGGGCTTCATTGTCTGAAAGTGTAAAAAGGCAACTCAGGGTGGCAAAAACCCCTCCCAATCAAAAAAGAGCTCGCCTGACTCTGTCATCAGGTGAAAAAATCTGAAGCCTTTTGGCCCGTCGGATTGGTGTCTGTGCAACATCTTGGATCCATTTCCTCACTCCTTTGGCAGCAGCGTTTCCTTCTGAAATCCATTTGTATCCAAGCAGCAGGGTGCCAGCACTAACGGTTGCCACCGGGATTCCCGTGGTAATTTGAAGCCAGTGTGACAAGACATACTCGTCCCACGCTAAAACTTTGGGAGCTTGCACATATCGCACTGCTCGTGCGAAAGGTGCCGGAAGCCAGCGTGGTGCAGAGAGCCCTGAATCTGCCACGCAGATACCAAGCCAAAAGCCTGCTAGAAAAGAAAGGAAACAAAAAAGCGGCCAAGGGTTTGCAGTGAAGGAAGAAACATTCCTGATACAAGATGGGCTCCATAATGGGCCTGCTCAGTCCAAATTCTGGAGTTGCTCCATGATTTTCGTGATGCAGTCACCCTTGTTTCTTGGCGCGTGCTCACAGATCTGTGCACACAGCGACTTGACGTCTTGTGCGGACTGACCGCTGAGTTGCGCCTTCACATCCACCCATGATACCACCTCATCAGTGAGTAAACGTTTGGACACCGAATCTTGACCGAGAATGCGGGATTGAGCAAGCACAACTTTCTTGGTCTTAGGGGAAAGAGCTTCTGCAGTCGTGTCACCAGGCATTTCGTCTGGCTTTGCCGTTGGCGCACTTTTGCTGGAAGCGCCGGGCCCACTGGGTATGCTAGCCAAAACTTCGTTTCGGATCTTCTGGATTTCCGCCTGACGGCGAAATTGTTGAAGTTCTTCAATGTCTTTTTGGCCCAGTATGTGCGCACCCTCGGGCGCTTTCCTCTTGCCGTTGCTGCGCCGTTTGCTCTTGGCCCGGCTATCCGTAGAATCAGACTTGGAAGAGGAAGTGCTGGTGGAGCGCTTCTTCTTCTTTTTTGCTTTGTCTTTCTTAGACTTTTTTCCATCCTCTACTCACACCACGACCTCTGTGGGATGTGGGTAGTGAGGCTGACTCTGTTGCCAATTCCAGTGCCCTGACTGGCCCCATCTCCCCTTGGAGGATGAGGATCCATAACCAGTGTGATGTCGCCCTTGGCCGGGTGGGCCAGCAAAAACTGCATGCAGGAGAGCCAACCAAACAAGGCACCAGAGCCAACTTCGTAGCATTGCCATGGCTAAACCTAGACGGCCCTAGAGTTAAACAAGGGAGGCACAAACCACCTGCAGCCAAAAACCACTCCAACACGAAGCCCTAGACTTAAAAACAAACCAAAAAGACACATAGCACTGTGCAGACCGCCAGGAAATTATTGCCAAAGCATTTTGCAAGCCAGAAGTAAACAAGTCCGAAGCACACGTGGGCGCTTGGTGGTTGACAGAAAAATGGCCCTTTTGACCAGGTGGCCTGACCAGCCAGCGCTTCTAAAACCATGTAGGATGGCAATAGCAGCGTCAAGCCAGGCTTCCAAAGACAACATGCATTCGTCCAACCGTGCAAACCGACCTGCAAGAAAGCAATGGACAAAACCGGGTTGGGAACTCCACTGCGGAGGGAGGACCCAAGGCCTGGGCTTCATCGACCAAGAAATAGGGGCAACGTGCAAGCGCAAATCAAGCCACGCGACGCATTGCCCAAAATCACACAAATCAAAAGGCACACTATAACATGATTGAATGGCAACATGTAAGCAGCCAACGCAGTATATGCCACTGACCCAAAGGAGATCATCGACATATCGCCCCCTTGCGACTTCTCTATTCCACGATGGCGTCGTGGCGGCAAAACCAAGGGCATCTCTTCTCCGGAGAGAATGCTGCCACGCTACTTCCTGCTCACCTAGGACAATACTGGTAGCAACTTTACTCAAGACACCTCCGATCGGCAAGCCCTTCAAGCGAAAAATTGTCCGACCAAGCGATACATATCCCACAAACATGCATGCAGAAAAGGCCAAGAATAACTCGCTAAAGGAAACAACCAACCTCCAGGTATCCTGATTGCCCGCGCAACCACCTAGGAAAGAGGTGCGACGTGGGCCTTTTTGCACAGTAACAGTAGTATGGCCAGAAGCTGTACTGTAATGCGATAAGCAACGCGCTGCAGCAGAGATAGCCTGGCTAGGGGCTACTGCTTCAAAGAACTGACCGGCATCGGCCGTCAAGGCAACGGAAGTAGGTTTCTCCACGCCGCATCTCGTACACGTGCAAGAGCCAGCGCTCACGCCTGCAACATGCATACGGGAAGACATGACATGGCAAGCGTCTTTGAGTGACCAAACTTCATCAGTGTCCATGCTTCTCACTACTGTCTCCCACGCACGATGGATGAAACGCCATCGGCGCCTGAAGGGCCACTTGCAAAAACTCACAATCTTCCTAAGACATGAATGCGCAGGCTTTGTGCAAATGTGGCCAACTGTTTGACCGGCGGTAAAACACTTGCTCTTAACTGTGCCGTAATAGTATGGGACAATACGTGTGTACTTGGGAATTTTGAGAAAAGCTTTTAGCCTGGTAGGCAGAAGGATACGAAAAACCTCCTGACACCATGCTTCAGCATCCTCAAGACCGAAGCTGCTAAGTTCCCAAGCCGGCGACAACATAGCAAATTTGAACAAGAGCCACTGGTAACAAAGCAAAGGGACTTTCCACATGAACTTTTTGTCCTTGTCGTCAGGCGTCAGTACTTCTGACGCATTCACGCTCATGTCAACAGTGTAGTCCTCATATGCGTTCTGAGTGGCATGCCATACATGCTGTTCTTTCATGTAGCATCTGTCCTGACATAAAGACCTAACAGCATCTTGGGCCGCAATGTCCGCAATCTGGTGGTCGATATGGAGAAAATGACAGCAACGCCGAATTGCACGGCGAACAACTTGGTTGTCCTCGGCAACTGTAGGACGGATGGGCACATCCCAAATTTTCTCAACACGCACAAGGTGTGAAGCCGCATCACAGGGAACAAGCGCATCTGTGTCATGAGACAGCATGTCTTCAAGACAGAATTGCCTGCTAACCAAAGGGGCACTGCACATGCTTCTATGTTTCTTCAAACCATGTGGCACCAAGCGTATGCGTGAAAGCAGCCATGACTTTTCTTCATCATTCCAACAACTACAAGAGTGAACGGCACGGACCAAAACCCTACGAAAAACGTTGAGGCATGACATGCGTGGTACAGCACATGAAACTCCAGCGATTGGCGGCAACTTTCTCAAACGGAGTTGGCTGTTAAGTCTTCTCGTGGCAAGTGAATGTGAACGCCGACCCTTCAAGAGGCCAAGAAAACGAACCACGGTAGCAGGTCCGCTCTTTACCTTCCATTTTTTCTCAAGCAAAAGCCAATCAATACATGCGTTCTTGCGACCAAGCCAACGAACCAACAAAGAAACATGTTGCGGGTCATAAATGTCGCATGGGCCCAGCAAGCCACATTCCGCCACAAGATGACGCAGGGCTAAACGATAGGCCGATTCAAAATCACAAGGTTTGTTCAACTGCGGCAACCCAGAAGGAGGCTCAGGCGAACGACATGCAAGGCAATTGCTCACAGCAAGTTCAGCTTCAACAGAATCAAAAGGGCCAACGTTGGACGGTTTAGGTCTAAAAGGCTTCGGGGGCCTGTTGCGCTGACGTGGCACAACTTTGGAAGACCTAGAGGTATTAGCACGTCCAACGTTGCAAGGGGGTCTTCTGGATGCGATTACCAAAGTTTCCATGGCCCGGACACGAACTTCAGGGCCAGCCCTACAAACCAAGAAGAAAGTGTCTTCTGGCCGAAAGCGTCGCATCAGTTTGTAGCGCAGCTTTTGGCTTTCAGCTGTGTGGGTGCGAAACATGCCACACATGTGTTCAAGCCAACGACAGGCTGGGCCAGGAGTTGAACGCTTTTGCTTTCTTTCCACTGACGCAATACCTACGTAGTAGCTACAACGCGATGCCCAAGCATACAAAACAAAAGGCGACATGCCATGACAGCCGTACAGATTACCGGCATGTGGTTGTACGCTACAAGCAAGTAGCTGCAAATGGAGGAGCTCATCCGCAGTTGCATGCATGGCTTGTTTGCCCCAGTCTTTGGGCCTAATTTGTCGCCACAGCAGCCAGCGGAATCTCGGCTCCAAAAGTTGACCTACGCGTCGCGCAGTACCAGAGTTGTATTGGCCAGAAAGCCACAACAAGGACCGACAAGCAACAGCACAAGCCCAAAGTTTCTCAACAGAAGGCGATGTCTTGCGCCATCTGCTGTGACATGGAAAAAGCCAAGTGGTACATACAATCATGATGTGAAGCAAAACATGCCATAACACTTTTGGTGGGCGGCGCAAACAGAGCGCGTCCCCAGTGCAAAGCAACAGCCGTTTGACAAGCCCATCAGCACAAGCACTGACGCTGGTTGTCCGGTCACCAAGCAAGTCCACATGCAAGTTTAAGGTGTCAACGCTAGTGGCAGCGCACATTCTGAAACAAGCATGGCAAATGTCAAGTGCAGTTTTGTCCGGCTGCATGTTCTGCTGGCAAATGTTCGCTATCTGGGACCACCCACGCACGCTATCCATCAGCGAACGGGGTATACAAGGAGCAGACCGTAGCAAGTAAAAACCAACCGGTGATGTTGCTCCGGGAAAAACAGAAAATTCCAAAGCAGTCACTTCAAAGCACCGTGCGGTCTTTTTTGACTGTCAAAAAATCCGAGGATCCAGGCCTGGGTTTTTTTTCAGCGCCTGTTGTTGTGCACTCCCCAAAAAAACGTGGTTTGATCCTGGACTTGATATGAAAGGGTGAGCTGCATGCCCCCGAGAATTCAAACTCACAGTCATCAGCACCTGAAAGGGCTTCATTGTCTGAAAGTGTAAAAAGGCAACTCAGGGTGGCAAAAACACCCTCATGAGAAAACATACCACTTCAGGATATCATCCAACCCTTGTTGTGTGTATGTTCTGAACAAACATGGAAATTGGATGAAATTGGCTCAATGACTCTTTGGTAATGTTTCGTAGCTATGGAAAATCTATATCTTAATACGATCGTTTTTCTATAAATGGTCCATTTTCCAGTTCGCTACGTGACAAATTACCCGAGAGCAATCAACGATACACAGATGTTTAGGTCTCAGACCGGGTCTTAGCCTTTCAGCAAACACATGTGAGGTGTTGACATAAGGATAAACACATGAAATCACCAACGAGAATGAGAGGCCCTCAATGCCTTGGTACCAATCCCATCGAGTCCCATAAATTCTCATCAAGTCACCATGAAATCACCACGAAGTCACCGTGAATTCCCGTTGAAATCTGGAAAATGCCCATGAAAAATCTCATAGCTTGATGAGATTTCCATTACCCTGTGGTAATTTGTTGCAGTTTGCTATTGAAGCCATGGTCCCAGTCGAAATAGTTGATAACTACCCAGCTATAAATGGTGGATCTTTCCAAAGCTATGTTAGTCATTACCAGAGCTATGAAAATCCCCATTATGGTCGGCCATGAAAAAAATGAAATCCCCATGGGTTAGTCACCATGAAATCTATTATAGGCTATAAATATCTATAAATGACAAACATGTAAAGGGGCCGAGCTATATAAATGGTCCATGGAAATGGGATTTCATTACCCATAGCTACCCTCTGGTAATTTAACAAAAAGCTATTGAAAATGGCCATAGAAATAGTGGATTTACCAATTAATAGCATGGTGATTTTCCATAGTTTTTTGTATGTTTACCAGAGGGTATGTTAAATCACCATGAAATCCCCCAGCGATTACTGTAACGACCCATCCACTGAGTTGGCACCGAGCTATATCGGGACTCAGGTTCCAACGCCTTTCGTGTGGAGTCTAAGACCTGCAAATGCTGCGGGGAAGGCAATTTGATGGGAATTTCATGAAGATTTAATGGGAATTTCGGAATATCTATATGGAAAATTGGAACTTTGACCATGTTTAACCATCAACAAATGGAGGAATTCATGTGGATTTCATGGGATTTATAGATGGATTTCATGGAAAGGGTTTCATGGGAATCAATAGGAACCCTGTGGATACTCAAACATGACTAGCTGGAAGGTATTATAGCTGGGAGAATCATGGACCCGGTGATTTTCCAGATGCAACCAGTGGAGTGAACTACCCTCTAAAACATAGAAATTTGGTGATTTACCCATTAAAAATTGCGATTTATTGCTGTTTAATGGGACTTCAAAATGTGATTTAATGGATTATGAATGGGATATACCCTCTGGTTATGTCAAAATAGCTATTGAAACTGGCCATAGACATAGTGAGTTCTGCCATGAAAAATTGTGATTTTCCATAGTTATGTAAACGTTTACCAGAGGGTAAACCATACACCCTAAACCCTAAACCTGAACCAGGAAAAGGCAGTAATTCAACGTTGTTTGCAGGAAACATAGTTGAGTGGCGTTCCAAATTTTAAATCTCTATATAGTACTAACCCAAAAGATGGAGTTTAGTTAGATCCTGTTCTAAAATAGTGGTGAATTGAACCTGTTCGTGGGCACATGAGATAGATTTGGTTCTGCAAAGATACAGTCTAATTGGTGGTTTCAACCCCCCTGAACAATACTATATAGTCAGATTGGATCATCATCCCAACTATTGGGGCAAATAAAAGCCATGTTCCAAACCACCAAGCAGCAGTAACTATACTATGGTCATTCACTGTACACCACATGTGCAAACCATTTATGCCTAGCCTTAACAGGGGCGGTTTTTTCTCTCGACCATGGATCCTGGGATTTACTGTCCAAGAGCAGCAGAGACGAAACCACGTAGCCTCTGGTAAACAAACAGTTTGCTATAGAAACTTACCATAGAAATAGTGGATTTACCCCATTAAAATAGTGATTTTCCATAGTAAAACTAACATAGCCATAGAAAATGGTCTATTTATAGTATAGTGGAATTACCAAAAAAAAATAGTGATGTTCCATCGATATGTTAGTTTACCAGAGGGTAAATTTCCACTGACGGTGTTATAACTTAAACCGATTTACAGCTCGGAAAAGCCATGAATATGGGAAACCCAATGTCACAAACCCCAAGTCATCACCTTTTTCATGGGTGCTATAAGCCATACCCAAATGGCAGGTTAAGGCTCATCCCCCACGCTGACAGGCACGCAATGGACATGATATTGGTGAGCATTCAATCTGGACAGCTGGCTACTCCATATAATTCCAGTGGATATAAGGCTTTACTTGGTGGTTCATCCTAGTTAGTAAGTAGGTTAGTTCACCCTGGTTATAACTGAGCTAAGCATGGGCAATGTTCACTTAAAACTGGGGTGAACTAACTCACTTACGATTCCTGGGTAGTTCACCACCAAGTATAGTGATTTATAGATGATAATGGTTATCTTGATATATCTTGATCGTAATCAAAATCATAATCACATTCATACCCCAGACTGTATACAGATTTTGGAATTCTAAATCCACCATTTCCTGCAGTCATACTGGTGAAATATCACCATATGGTTATTATCCTCGACATATTGTTGGTGAAATGTCCCCTTAAATATACCAATCATAATCATATTCATAATCATATTCATTCATACAACTTTAATACTGATGATTTATAGATGATGGCTATCACTACTGTATGGGTTTATCCCATTGAAAAAAAAACATAGATTTTGAAATTCAAAAAAAAGTATCACCATCATGATTTAAGTTGAATCATATATATATATACCTATATATAATTATATATCCCCATCATATATATACATATATATATAATATTACCCATTCATTAAGTGTATACCGAACCATAGTCAGTGTAGAACCTGTCCAGTGAATGCCTCGTGGTTGATGCTGGTGAGCTCGGAAAAGCCTTTGGGAGCGCCCCAGAGGTCCTGGCGACACTTCTGGACGTTGCAAAATGAGGCTGGTTACCCTCTGGTAAACTAACATAACTATGGAAAATCATAAAAAAAAAACATCATTTTTAATAGGTAAATCAACTATAAATGGTGATTAATGATGATTTAATGGGATTTCATGGTGATTAATGGAGGTTTACCCTCTGGTAAACTAACATATCGATGGAACATCACTATTTTTTGGGTGGTAAATCCACTATACTATAAATAGACCATTTTCTATAGCTATGTTAGTCTTACTATGGAAAGATCCACCATTTTTTAATGGGCAAATCAACTATTTCGACTGGGACCATTTTCAATAGCAAACTGTAACAAATTACCAGAGGGTACATAGTCGGGATATCCCTATTAGGGTATCATAATCCCCAATATATAAAGGGTAGCATAATCCAACAGGAGTTTTGAACACTGCTCACATCCTGCGTGTTCTGATTCACATTCCAAACATATCATCAGATCTATCATAACATCACAAGATACCTATGGGGGGTTCTCGAAATGGGGTACCCAATAGCTGGATGGTTTATTTCATGGAAAATCCTCCTAAAATGAATGATTTCGGGGTACCCCTATTTTAGGAAACCCCCAAAAATGTTGGATAATTCATGGATGATAAAGCAACCAAATGAACATCACATTACAGTTGTGGCCCGACATACCAGTTATAAGTACTAAGTCATCCTATTTATGGAATGTATAATCGCATTGAAATAACCAGTTATGACTCTAATAGCCATGGCCATAACTGAAAAAAAAAATGGTTTCGCTATGATACAGTGCTTCCGGGAAAATCTGGAAAAACATCACCACTACGGAGTTGTTCAGAAGGGTGAATCAATGGGATATCGAAAAAAAAACAGTCTAACCTCAGCCATGGTGGATTCATCAAGCATTTCTGTCCTTGGAACACCATGGCTATCCCCATTTCTGTTGATTTTCTGGAAGCAGCCGATTTACCCAGCGCCCTGGCTTCTTCGGACCCATCGTCCCTGGCGCCCTCATGCCATCCATCTGCATCTCAAAATAAGTTTTTTGTAAAATCACCCAGTTCTCGTTGCTTAAATCTCTATGTTTGATGATGATGATGATGATGATATCTAGGTTTGTGATGACGCACTCCCAATCTTGCCTAGTTTAAATGCCAATGTTTATCATGTTTGTTGGAGAAATCACTATGTTTGTGGACTAGATCCCCAATTTGTTGTGGACTAAATCCAATTTTTTCATGGTTAAAACACTAGTTTCCATGCTTAAAACACAATTTTCCATGGTTCAATCAGCATGTTTCTATCGTTTTTCTCGGTGTTTCTCCGTTTCTCCCCCGTTGCCGACCGGGCGAAACGCGACCTGCTCTTCGTCCGGCAGGTCTAAGTTGGGATCATCGTCGTATTGACGCACACCAGCCTCAGCGGCGACCGACAGCCAAGGCCCTGGGAATCCGGATGGGCTATTTATCTCAGGGCCTCTGAAGTCCCATCTAATCTGATAGATGTGTTTTTATATATATATATATATATATATTTATATGTACAGCATTTTATAGCTAATGAATGCTTATCTGATCATGAATGATGTGATTTATAGATATTTATAGATGATAATGGTTTTTCTGAATCTTAACTTGATCAATAGGTTAAAAAATATATAGTAGACTAAAAGTCACTCTTAATCATTGTATAGTGACTATAATAGTGATGAATAATGATGAATAGATATCAATGGTGCTTATAATGGTACCCAAACTAGTGATTAACAAACCCTCTAGTAGATGTTTCACGTTATTAGTTCTTAATCCCAATCCCCCGGTTCATCATTTTGTTTACACATTGTAGTATGGTCCCTAAGATGTGGTTTTGACCCTACGTTTTAATACTTGTTTACCATGGTTCCTGAGGATGTTTAATATGAAGGGGAAAAGGGATTGACTAACATGTCACTGTTGGATTTATATAACTTTTATCCCACTAACATCAACTAATCATTGATGGGTATGCAACCAGTGAAAAGATAGATTTTGTATTTATGGGAATAACATGGAATAACTCTCATGTCACTCGTCTCGATCGAAAAGGTGAATATATTGAACATCACAAGGAGGTGTTTTCCCCTCAAGTTTCCCCTGTCTGAAGTTTTCCTCGATCCCGGCACAAGGATGGGAATAGGATTCCAACGGATTTTGTTACTAAATTCAACACGAGCTAAAAAATAAACCAACTTCTTTTTGAGGTGATGAATGCTGATTTGTCGCTCCTCTATGGATGTTGTTGTGCTGCTGATGTCTGTTGCCATGTTGCCATGGATGGCTATACATGACTCAAAATCTGAGTTTATAGCCATAGATGTTCATAAATACCTCCAGTTTACATCAGTTTATAGCCATAGTACATAGATTTCCACAAATTTGCCATTGATCATAGATTTTTAATAGCCATTGATTTTCATTATATCCGAGTTTTGCCATCATAATTACCTCCAGTTTATAGCCATAGTTTGATAGCCACATATTCTGGTTGGTGGTAGACCTACCGCTCTGAAAAATATGCTCGTCAGTTGGGATGATTCTTTCCAATCTATGGAAACAAATCCAAAATTCATGTTCCAAAGCAACAACCAGTATATATGATTATGTATAGTTTATAGTTTAATAGCCATATTATCATATGTTTATAGTTTAATAGCCATATTATCATAGATTAATAACCATATTATCATAGATTATCATATGATAGCCATAATATATATATGTAGTTTATAGTATCAAATTATAGCCATAGTTTATAGTTGAATAGCCATAGTTTGTTCCAAAGCAACCAGCCCAACCAGCCATGACTTTTGCCGCGCCTCAAAGAGCGCCTGGTTGGTTTCTTCAGGCGTGGGCTCCAGCTTAAAGGGATCCTTTTTACGAAGCGTGGTGGGAAATCCTCGAAGCTATGGGAAATTCACGGAGAAAATCATGGGAACATATGGGAAGTACATGGAAGTACGGGAAAAAGATGGGAAAATCTAGGAAAATCATAGGGAGAAAGATGGGGAAATCTATAGGAAACGATGGGAAAATCAACAGGGAACCCAGGGAACCTGGAAAATCATAGAGAAACGGCCATCCAAATGGATCTTTACTTGGACAAGTGTTATTACCAGATGCTAATCCCTCATTGGAAAGAAACTAACACCCAAACTACCCTCTGGTTATGTCAAAATAGCTATTGAAAATGGCTATTTAGTTCGTTGAATTGCCCATACAAAAATGGTGATGTTCCATAGTTTTTTGTATGTTTACCCGAGGGTAATCATGAACCAAACTAAGGGTTGAACGCCACTGCGAATCATGTGGGATGACGGTGATGATGATGATGTGAAATGGCTGATCAACGCTGATGGTGCTGCTGATGATAATGATGGTGATGATTATGATAAGGCATATAACCCATGTATGGTATATATATGGTAAATGTTACCATATATAGCAGCACCATGGATCCGTCATGGGTAATGATAAGTGTGCATATCTGCATGTCTATATTATGTATACCCTCTGGTTATTTAACATAGCCATGGAAAATCCCATTTTTAAGTTCGGTAAACCATCTATTTCTATGGGCCATCTATACCATGGCTATGTTAGTCATAACCAGAGGGTATATATACTAATATAAACATATATAAACATATCCATAGTTGATCAATGTTGATCGTGGACCAGATCTATTTGATTGAACTGGTTTGACAACAGGTAAACCAATACACCTGGCTGTTGACATCCACTAAAAAATCCGTCACCGTGATCGTTTTTTTTGGGGGTTGAACCATCAACAATACTTGGTGGTTCATCCCAGGAATCGTAGGTGGATTAGTTCACCCTAGTTACAAGTAGATTAACCCTACTTATCCCATTAACTTATAATCAGGGTGAACTAACCTACTCAGGAATCGTGAGATGGACCACCAAGTATGCCTACAGGCTGAGGATAGTTGCCCCAATCCCAACCCCCAGCCCGTGCTTTAAGTGTTAAACCCACAGCGCAGTGGCGTTTTTAAGGACGGGAGCACATTTTTCTCAATGGGAAAAGTGCCCGGGGAATCTATCGGGAATATGCCTTATGCTAAGATGTTCCCAGTTGTAAATCGTGTTATTCCCATTTATAGTGGTTAATGGATATTTATAGTAACCGTTTTGTTATTTAGTTTACCACGTGTTTCTCAACCGGACAGTTATATATATATACCAGTTTATTAGTTTGTTCGTGCAATTGTAATTGCGGGGCACTTCAACTGCTCAGCTGTGTTCCCCTCAAGACTTTTTCCCAGAGAACAGACCAGACCATGAAAAACCTGCTATATATTAGATATTGAGAATATCATGAAATATTATAACCCTTCTACAAGCCCTTTTTGCAACTAAATTTCATGGAATCTGGAGACTAAATTTGATCTATCACATCTATCCTGATGTTCCCAATCAAACATCATCCGTTTTAGATTCCCCATGATTCCCCCAGACTCCAAGTCGTCCATCCCACAACGAAGTCCTCATCCATCTGGATGGCAAGTTCCAGATCCGTGGGGCCTGTTGGGCCCTCGGTGGCACGTTACGTTGCGGCTCCGGTGGGCTCCGGTGGGCTCCGGTGGGCTCCGTTGGGCTCCGTTGGGCTCCGTTGGGCTCCGTTGGGTCCAGGTGAAAAATAAAACAACTTATACACCAAGCTAACAGGGAAGCTGGGTACCAACCAGTTTCAACATCCTTCTCGTTCTGCAGTGTCTATGATTTGTTAGTGATTCAATGGGATCTTATAGTGACTTAATGGGATTTTATAGTGACTTCATGGGATATTAATGGGATATACCCTCTGGTAAACAAACAAAAAGCAATTGAAAATGGCCATTTAGTTCGTTGATTTACCCAGCTAGAAAATGGTGATTTTCCAGAGTTTTTTGTAAACATTTACCAGAGGGTAAATATCTGGATATATCTGGGCACCACGTTGTATGGCTATGTTCTGTGTACAAACCCAGGATTGCTGGTCATCTTTCTACCTGCCTATTTTGGTTGATTGAACCTCTATGTCTGTCGATTGATCCATAATGCTATCCATCATGTATGTATATTCGTTTATATGTTTAACATATTTTGAAATACTTGTTTGTGGTTTATCTCAAATTCTTGGCTCAAGAACAGGTGTTTGGCATTTTGGTGTCAAGTAGCAACTCCAATTGTTTGGCAAAGCTCGGTTTAGTTTAGTTTGTACATGAGTCACGTTGCTTCCAATTTACGTGTTAGCATATCTACAGCTTTGGCGAAATTTGGTCAGCAGAACAATACATAAGCCCCAATTTGTTCTGCAAGTTTCTAAAACCTCCAAATCTTAATATTACATACATATGCTAAGTGGTTCATGACGCACATGATGACATGTTAGACGGGTCATTAGCCACCTCCCCGCCTCAAAAAGTACGAGTACACTTCAAAAGAAACTGTAATATTGTTAAAAAACGGTGTATACACAGATAATTCACATACACATAAGTATATCTACATATGTATATATATATATATGTAGATATATAGATATACATGTATATATACATATATATGTAGATATATGTAGATATGTATATATATGTATATGTATATGTATATATATATATTGCATATATGTCTGGTTGGCTTATATAACTCATATAACTCGTGTTAGATTCCCAACTCGCCGTTGCCTCAGATTCTCCAGCTCCGGGTTTTTCCGTGTCGGTGACCGGGGGTGGTGTCACCTCGCCAGGTCCTGGCGAGTCTGGCGAGTCGCGGAGAGACTATGTCAATTCAAATATGGATATCTATGGATACATAAATAATATATATACATAAATATTTATTATTATTATTATCATCATTATTTTATATTATTATATAATATATCATATAATTTTTGGCCCTCTGCATGTAGTGGCGCGTTCCGCCGTGCCACTGGGTTTGACTTCTTCGGCGGGTCACTAAGCCCCAAGAGCTTGAAACATGAAACCACGATCCTGAGCTCGACCTCTGCATGATGCCATCATCCTCTTTAGAACGGAAGATATCATCAACAGCAAGATACTGAAGTCTCGCTCCGAAGAAAACATCTTTGAGAATTTGTCTGACCAGTCGTGCCTTCTTACTGGGATGCCGATGAACAACCAGATTCTCCTCCCACAACATATCTTGAAAGTTGGACCAGTCCCCTGACTCAACAGTAAGGCTGGATCCACCTTCAGACCGAAGTTGTGATAAACAGCAAGGGCCATATCTCCAGGATGAATGGGTTTACACCCAGACAGCCGAAACCGTAAGCCCACATCCCGTAGAAATTGCCAGTTAGGCATTGGCACAATTGAGCCGAAACTAAAGAACTGCTCAGTCACTTCAAATAAGCCAAAAGCAAAATTATATTGTAATATATATATATATATATTATAGAAACATATATATATTATAGAAACATATAGAAACATATAGAAACATCAGTTTGGTACTTGGTGGTGAACTAGCCAGCAATCGTAAATGGCTTAGTTCGGTAAGTGGACATGGCCCCTACAAAAACGCCCATGTTTTTTTTTTCCCAAGGCTCATGACCTACTTACGATTCGTGGGTAGTTCACCACCGTTCGTAGAACATATTTATCCTACAAGGTGGTGCCCCGGTTCGATAGCTAAGTTGGTGAACATCACTCCCATTTCACTATGGTTTATAGGTGATACATCTAAAGTTAATGGGATTATAAACGAACTTATAACTGGGGGGCACCACCTTGTAACCAGACATGGATGGAACCAGATTGAAAACCCTTGGGGTGAAAAGCGATTTTAAAAAAATCACCGTGAAACTAACGCTATCCCATGTCATTGTAGCTATAGCTGAATCACAATCCATTTTACATAACCATAGCCAATTAAACCCCATTAGATCACCATAAAATAAGCAAGCATATATTAACCCCATAAATTGGAATGCATCATCCCATTCAAAACCAATTATAACTCACAAATGGCCATACAATCTGGTTATTTAACATAGCCATGGAAAATCACCATTTTTAATAGGTAAACCATCTATTTCTATGGGCCATTTCCCATGGCTATGTTAAATAACCAGAGGGTAACTGTAGAAACCCCCTTGGCACATTCCCCACCTTCATCCGGCGGCGGCAGCGGCGGCGCCGTTTCGTCACGGGCTTCACGTGCCGCGCCGGTGCCGGCGATCTGACGGAAGACGAGGGGAGGGATGAAGCCCATAACTACCATCTGGTTATGACTAACATAGCCATGGAAAATCCCTTATAAATGGAGGTTTCTAGCTGGGGAAATCATCTATTTCTATGGGCAATCTATACCATGGCTATGTTAGTCATAACCAGAGGGTATATACATTGAGTATGAACGATATCTACCCAAAATGGTTAAAACACATTAATGGATATCATATAATGGTATATCGGTATTAATTATATATGATATAACATCAATGTATGAACTATATATATATATAAATGGATATAAATTGTAAGTATCATCCCCATTTTGGCCATGGGGAAATATCACACTAATGTGAGAAGCTCAATATTGAACCTACCATTTGGGGATGATAGTTAGCATGTATCGTGATTTTGGGGATGATTGATTGTTGGGGATATCACATTATATAACAACATTAGAATGTGTTTTGGTTTTACTGTATTGATGCAACATGAATTAATAGTTTCTCTGGATGCCAACAATCTGTGGACTAGTATGCTTCATGCACTTCATATTCAACTATAGAACAACAAAAGGAGGTTGTTCTTTGTCTTTGGAGTTTTGTGAGATACGATGAAATAATTATTGGCTAGATAATGTTTATACATATACCTAAGCGACGATCCCTTACTACTCAGATTCTGCAAGTGGAAAGTGCTGTTTAACAATGACAATAAATGGCCCACAATGCCAGTAGATAGTGAATGTTACAAATCAGTGTGCTTCTTTGGATAAGCTTGCCATGCAGCAGTTCCAACATAAGCAATTACAAGATGGTCGCGCTCGGAATCGCTACATTTTTGGTTTATAACATTTTATAACTAGCATTTCACTTGACTTTATGGAAAAAGTCCATATTTCTTCAACACACATTTACTGGTGATAAACCAACAAACCACTCAAAAGTCCATATCATAATACCAGATCATAAACCAATGGGGGGTCATTGGCACCAAACATTTCACTGGTCAGAAGTTCATTTCATGGCCATGAACAAAATTCCCTTTATATGATATATAATTATAGTGTAGTACAATATAGTATGTATATATAATATTTTATATACCATTTACGATTGCTGGCTAGTTCACTACCAAGTACCAAACTGATGTTTCTATATGTTTCTAGAATATATATATATATAAATACCCTATGGATCCAAAGACTGTCTGAGAAGGTACGGCTAACCCTCCAAATTATCGTAAACAAAAAACAAACATCCACAAGGTATTTGGATCCAATCCCGGATATATTATGATATATGTGATTGATTGTAACATTTGTGCTAATGGATTGATCAAACAAATGATATCTAAATGTTGATTGTTACAAAAAAATGGATTGATTCTAGATTCCTAATTTTTTGATCCATAGTATATCAACGGATCTGATCCATATATTCCTGATATATATCAGGGATATCATATTTTGATCCACAGGGATTCATATTTATAGTTATAAGTACCATAAATTACCATAGTTATTGGAGATCTGTTCAACAACTTAGCTATCGTGGCCCGGGGCCTCACATTGTAGGGATATCCCTAATGGATATCTATAATATCCCTAAAAATTATATATATAATATATAGATATCCCTAATGGATCAAATATCCATCACAAATCCATGGAAATTACTATTAATAGGATATAAACACTATAAAACACTATTATAGAATCAACCCTCCTCATGGTGCCATTGAAGCCCATGCACTGCTGCTTGGGCCTGAGTTCCAAGGCCTTGCTGAAGGTCTGATGGCCTGCCTCTTCTGGACTATATCTTCATATGGGTGTGTCTGAAAATGCTATATATCTCCTATTTATGGCATTTTATGGAGGAAGATTATGATAAACTGATAAACCATAAGATTTTGGAAAGTATCCTATTTTCAGACAAACCCATATATCTTGGAGTTCACCTGAAACTTGGGGGTTCCGGATCCACTGTCTTTGGTGACAATGCAGGGACTTGCAAATCACCGGTCTTTGATGCTGTCCCAAAAAAGGGACATCTTTGGACCTGCCAATGGTAGACCATCCATATAGGATCAGCGGTGCATCCAGTGGCTAGTGGCTAATAGCTACATGTCTATGATACATATAATAGATATGTATGTATATATACATAATAGGGTGTATATGTAATGTTTACATACACCACAGTTATATATATATATATTATATTATATATATATATATTATATTATCTTTTTATATTGTATAGTACATAGTATATGTAGTATATATATATTATATTATATATCATATACCCATATTTGCGATAATGGTATAACTCTACCATAAACATCCCCAGGCCTCAGAAAGGTCTTGCGCGAACTCTGCGCGCAACTTGGCCTCGTCCAGTTCATGACTGGGAGTTCTGTTTTTTGTTTGGATTTTTCATTGGTATTGAAGTATATTTAAATGACATTTAAAGGGAATTATTCAGAATTCATCGTATTTAATGGTAATTCATGGCATTTATTGGGGATTTCATGGGAATGTCGTCAGATGATCAACCACGGCACGCTCAAAATCAAGGTTGATAGCTGGGAAATCATCTGTAAATGGTGGATTTTCCATCCACGTTTGATTACCAGGGGATATACCCCTCTCGAAATTTAACGTAACGACGGAACATTGATTAAAATTGCCCATTTATGACTAGAATTGCCCATTTATAGAGAATGTACCGTTTACCTTTAAAAATGGTGATTCTCCATCGCTATGTTAATTTATCAGAAGGTAGTTATAGTTACTGGCTTCAATATCCTGATTTAAGGTGACTAAGTTATAGTTACTGCTTAAAAGTTTATTTGCCATAGTCACCGGTGTATGGCAATAATCATCGGTTTTATATCCGAAGTGATGGTGGTTATATACGTGCCTAATTGCATGTATAACCCCTACTGCGCCCCCCAAGTTCAGAGAGAGAAAGAAAGAGAGAGAGGGAGAGTGATTTGGGGCATGTTTTTAGAGAAAGGAACTTGGATGCTTATAGCACTGGATTTCTTTCACCCGAGCTGGGGAATGTACCAAGTACATCCAAGTACTATCCTTTAAGTCTTATGCGGAGCATCATCAATTCCAACTGAGGTTTCACATGGTATACCCTGAACTTGAGAGCAAATCTCCGAGCCTTGCTCTACCCTCTGGTAAACTAACATAACTATGGAAAATCACCATTTTTGATGGGTAAATCAACTATAAATGGCGTTCGATAGCCTTTTGTATGTTTACCAGGCCGGGTAAATCATGAGATGCTTCACCCAAACACAAATCATAGACACTGCAGAACGAGAAGGATGTTGATACTGGTTGGTTACCAGCTCCCCTGTTAGGTTGGTTTAACTTCTAGTGGTGTATAACTGGTTGGGGGTTTTCACCATCTTGAAAAATATGAGTTCGTCAATGTTGGTGGATTATCCCATATATTATGGAAAATAATCCAAATGTTTGAAACCACCAACCAGACAAATTACCGATTATCCATCCTTATCTCCAAACCAATCAACACAAAAAGAGGGACTGGCTTGGAAGCACCATGGGAGTTCATTTCCCCATCCAAAGTGCGTTTTTTTCAAAGATCATCAATCCAGATCTTGTCTGAAAAATTGCCCCACCCCAAACCATAATTCATATAAGAAAAACATAGAAAAACGAGGTTTTAAACAGAAAAAATCATGGGGAACAGCAGGTTTCAACACATGTTTTTTCCCATCAAACCTGGATCTGTTTCCCGCCTGCAGGGGGTGATCTCGGTTCAGCTGACCCAGCAGTGCCTCAACGGTGCTCCATGGATCCCATCAATGTCAGCCAAGAAATAAAAATGTGAGCATTTTTGATACCAGCACCAGCCGGATCCGTCATGGGCCATGGGTTGCATATGGGATATTTTTCCTGGATATCCCATATGGATATCCCATATGGATATAACATGGATATCATATGTCCAAAAACACAACTTCGAGGGCAAAAAACGACTACGACATTTTTTTCAACTCCATGTTAGGGATTTGGATGCACTCGGACCCGTGCCGCCAGCGCCATGGCGCAGCCCCGGCGGCGGTCGCCCGCTTCGGGGCTGGGGTCGGCCTTGGAAAATGGGAAATCCATGGGAAATCCGTGGGGATTTCATAGAATTTGAATGGAAATTGATGTGATTTTAGAGTTTCCAAAAAGATTTGCAGAAGATGATGTGAGAAAATGGGATTTACTGTAATGTTCATTCGATTTCATGGGATTTGAGACGGGATTTCATGTGGAATTGAATGGGATTTGATATGGCATTTGATGAAAATTAGCCAACAACGAATGGTGATTTAATATGATTTAATGGGATTTAATTGGATTTAACCAGCAACACATGGTGATCGAGTGGGATTTAATGCATTTTAACTATACAACGATAATCCCATAGCTACGTTGACTTACTCGCCTTGGTTAACCTGGGGGTTTATGGGTATATCCTGGTTGGTGGTTGACCTACCCCTCTGAAAAATGATGGAGTTCGTCAGTTGGGAGGATGAAAATCCCCAACTGAATGGGAAAATAAAATTCATGTTCCAAACCACCAACCAGATATATTGTTATTCCAATTATTAACCATTATTAACCATTATTAGCCAAAGTCATGTTCCAAACCACTAACCCGTATCATAATTGTAACTATAGTCAGTTTATAGGATGTTGGACTTGTTCATGAATGGGAGCCACATGGGGGGGGTATGATTCATTTTGTATGGTGTTCTTGCTAACCTTGTGGTGCCCCAGTTGCTTAGCAAAGTTACTTCATATCTCCTAACTCCAATAACTCTTTGGTTTATGGGCTTATATTGAACTAGTTATGGGGATTAACCAGCTTATAACTGAGGGTTACCATCCTGAATCCATATACATATTTATATTTATATATATATATACCCTCTGGTAAACTAACATAGCTATGGAAGCCATGGCCCATAGAAATAGATGGTTTATCTATTAAAAATGGTGATTTTCCTATCAAAATGAGTGATGGATTGAAAAATGGTCGCCTTCCCCGCTTCGATGAACGTCGTGACGGTCCCTCTTCGTGGTTGATAAAAAAAAATCGGAAAATTTGGCGCGCCCAGGACTTGGCTAACCTCCCCGCCCTTCGGAATACGCGTAAAAAAGCCGGTTTTGTAAGATTTATAATTGGAAGTATCATGCACTATATGTATCATATGTATTATATATATATATCCCATAGGATCCATGTATGGTATATATGCTAACATTCCATATATAGCATACATGGATCCTATGGGTATATATATATATTATTTGGGACCCCGACCACATGGGTTTGTGAAAATAGTGACAATTATATAAGGAACTTGGCGTGTGAACATAGCCACATTTGTTTTCATGGTTTTGCCGGGAAGAATAACATGACAGCTGAACGATGTGAATGTGGTCAAAATTATGGCACGTGCAAAAACAAACTTTTACACTTAATTGATGTGATTGTGACTACAATATCAAATAAGAATGACAACTCCGGTTTTGGGACCCTTCAAACGTTGCAGACCATAAAACATCATTTCTAGTGTCCTCGGCCAGTGTCTTGTCTTTTTCTCCAGATATCATATCATGTGTGAACAAAAAAAACATCCCGCTGTACATCTCCAGTGTATCGCCGATATCTCCTCATGATCTCCCAGTGTTTAGCACCATAACAATGGGCCTTACCTACCTGGTAATTCTGTCATAGTTGATACCCTCTGGTAAACGTTTACAAAAAACTATGGAAAGATCCACCATTTTTCATGGGACAATTCACTATTTCTATGGTCATTTTCCATAGTTGTGTGACAAATTACCAGAGGGTAACTGCAATTTGCCTACAAGCCAGCTTTTAGTGGATCATCATTTTGGATCATTCATGGATGATGAAGCAACCTACTGAATATCACCATGGAATTTCTTGCTTAAAAACATCTTCAGATCATGTTCGTTCCTTGGATCCTGGCAGAAACCGCAATGAAACCATCAACATCACCCCAACCATCCACCATCCGATCCCTTTCTCTTAAATTTTGCATCTCACGAAGTGGCGAAAATCCATGACGTATTAATGCCAGCTATATATCCGATAGGCTCCATGTATGGAATATTTACCAACATTTGCCCGAACAAAATCACCCAGTTATGTAGGTAAATATACCATACATGGAGTATATGGGTATGGACATATCACCAGTTATATGGACTATAATTGTTTTTTTCACTATAAAATCCAATGCATCAAATCATCAGCTTCCCTACCCATAGAAGCCATAGGCCGGTATAGAGGTGACTACCCCATGGTGACACACCCAGAAATTCACGGTAAAATCTATGGTAAACGCCATATTGTTACATGATAACATCCTCATGTTTCGCAGTAAAATCCAGAATTTCCATGGACACATGCCCCCTTATATATGGAATATCACCACTGATATATGGGATGAAATAGGGTGTGTATATATATATATATATGGCTATGGCTCAAAATTTGGTACAATAATTACATGGTGAATATATGTGACTATCAAACATATACCCTCTGGTTATTTAACATAGCCATGGAAAATGGCCTATTTATAGATGATTTTCCCATTAGAACCTCCATTTATAAGGGATTTTCCATGGCTATGTTAAATAACCAGATGGTACTAAAGAATTACTAAAGTCTGTGGTCCCCGTCTTTCATGTTGACCCAAAGCCAGACCTACATCCCATCCCAACCCCCACCCCACTTGGCGTCACACCACGGCCAGCTCGGCGCGTAGCTGATCCGCGGTGTGCTCCGCTTGCAGGGCGAAGAGCGTGCTGTGGGCCTGGCGAGTTGAAGGGTTGAAGCCATGACCTTCCTCCAGCATGTTGAACTGTGGGGTTACTAACCACAACGTTAAACCTTGTGGTTGGAAAGTCAGGGGTATATAAACTCTATGATATGCAAATCATTCAAATAAGAAATACTGAACATACAAAACTATGAAATAGTAATAAGATGTAATCAGGATAATAACGTAATAACCAATCTTTAGAACGCATAATCATCATAAGTAGATGAAATAATAATGGAACAATATGGGCTATAGGCTATATATCTTGCAAACAACAATATGATTTTGTGCGGCTGACCTTACCTTTTTCAGAATGACCTGCAATCAATTATATAACATAATTCACAATGGGAATGTCATGGTATCATGGGGATATATATCCAAGCACTGTCTGACAAGGTCCTTAACCCCTAAATCATACCCCAAATACTTCCTAAGAAGGTACTTGGATCCATAGAGCTGTATATAATTATATATATATGTATAGCCAGCCATATGAAAACATCAGGTTTCTCTGAAAACTGAATTTAGCCACCAGTTTTAGCAATTTTTATCATTGGGGTGATGATAAACCACACCCAGCATTGCGATCAATGGGTTTCTCTGACGATGGCATATACCACCCCCAAAGAACCACAATTCCATGGGAAACTGATGATAAACCGCTGTTTTTTTTGGGAGCACCCTATTTGAATTCAGCAACCTGAAAAAAATTGGCAATTTTGGTTAAACAAAATCTTCCAATAGATCCGTGATGATTTTTTATTCAGAATCGATATGGGGATATCAACCAGGAATAAATCTAGAAATATCAATAACTTACAATACTCCGCAATCTGCAGTAGTCTTTTTCAACAACAGTTTGGGTCTGTGCTTTGGGTTAGTGGTCGGGATTCCCAACTGATTTCTCCCGGCGGGATATCCCCCACCTATCCCCCAACAAAAATTGGCATCCAATCCGGGTTTCCGAGCATCGGGAGACAACAACTCCTTCGCGCGCTTGATCACCTGGTGCCGAGGCTCTCGGCACGGCGTCAGTTTTGCGGAATTTTGATCTTTACCATATTGAAATACTCCAAGGTGCGGAATTTTACAATTCCGATGGAAATACCGCACACATGAAACTTTCATGAACCCCTCCACTTAAGAATTGGGAGGTCTCGAGTTCTGTATAGAGGCTAAAAATCAAGTAGGAGGATGCTCCAAAAATGGGAGTTTGCACAGCCATCATGTTGGGTCCAACGTTGGTTGTGGGTGAAATTGTTCCTGGAAATGGGTCTTTAACCAGCCAACATCCGGATTTAGCTAAGTTTAACCTACAAAAGCGCAAACTTTTTCGGGGGCATCACATGGTTCAAGCAGCAAAAAGGTGTTGCGAGAATCAAACACGGAGGTTTAGTGGTGTTTATATATATATATATATGTGTTTTTGCTGTTGATTTCCCAGAATATGTTATCACACATTGGAACATCGATGATTACATCATATTTGGATTTGCTTCCCGGAAATTTAAAGAAAACACACATATAAAATAACATGTAAAGATTCCACAAGCAGTGGATTTCTCATTGGGAACCTTTAAACAAAGACATCTTCAGCAAATCAAGATATATTATTATATGATATATTAGGTTTATAGAGAAACCACCAGTTGCTTTTTCACGCCAGGTGGACACATGGAACGTCCAATGAAAGTTTGAGATTTCCTGGATTTGGATATGTATTATGATATATATATATATAATCTATAGATGGTGTGTATATATATATTACATATGATTACAGATAATGTGTATATCAAATTTAATAACAATGTAGTACAGTAACCCCCAAAAAGATAGAAACACAAAATGTTGCCAAAGTAATATATATATATATCATATATATAGTAATATAGTGGCACATCGGCACATCTCTCTCCTTCTTTGGGCTTGCTATACCCTGGGTAAATCACCATAACTCACATGTTGGCGGCTACTAAAGTCAATATATAATTCTAGTGGATAAAAAAATTGAGCGATTGTATATCATATATTCATATATCCACAATCGAATTATATATATCGACTTTTTTTGGGGGGGCACATAGAATTATATATCCAGATATCCACAATATGGACGTTTTTTTCAATGGAAAAAAAAAGGCCCAAATTTGGATTGTTTCTAATGGACGAGTTGGGGGTAGCCCCGATTTTGGGACACCTCCATACCGTATGAGAACTCCTCAAAAGATAGAAACGCATTCGTTCATTTTTTGTTTGACTCGTATATCAATTAATAGACTCAATATAAATCTATAGTTCTATATTAATATTAATGGACTATTTTTCTATATTAATGTTTCTATCATCACTTTGGCGTGTTATACCAATGTTCTTGAGCCATGTTCTCATCACTTGAGCCATAAGAAAAGGCGCCAATCCCATCTCATCATACTAGGTGTCCTAGGTGTCCCTATGAAAAAAAGGTTAGTTCATAATCTCCAATAACCAGCTGGTAAAACTCCCAACTAATGGTTAGTTCCATTGAAGATAACCAACTTAATTAGTTCCATTAAAGATTCTAAGATACCATGAGTTGGTGCATAGGTTTCTCCAATCAACTTGTGGTATCTTTAATGGAACACCGGTGAAACCCCCTCAGATGAACGCCTTAGGATTCTCAGGTCCAATGTTCAGAATAGCTCTGTCAATGACCTGTGGCGCGCAGGAAAGCTGGATTGGGTCATCATATTCTGGTTGGTGGTTTCAACCCCTCTGAAAAATATTATATAGTCAGTTGGGATGATGACACTCCCAATATATAGAAAAATAAAAGTCATGTTCCAAACCACCAACCAGTATTATATTAGGCTTAGGTTATGTTTTGTGGATATCTAATGATATCTTTCATCAACACTTCTTGGCTCATTTTATGGACTTCTTCTTGGTAAAATCCATGGTATTTCATTGTATTTCGCTGTTTTTTTCATGTTTTCCTTCTGTTTCTGTTTGTTGGGTGTTGTAGCAGCACCCATGGCAGTTCATGTGGAGGTCTGGTAAAGTTGATATTCAACGGGAGATCTCCAGGATCCTCAAATGGAGGTACGTTAGTACCATATAAGGCCATATTTTGGGGGTATATCTCCTTACATAGGCCTTATATATGGTAGGTACCTCCAATTTGGGTTCCTGGAATGGCCATTGATTTATATTTATATTGGCAACCCTATTCCCCGAAAAAGAATCATGAAAATTAATAGAACTGTCAGACCTGAAATCTGTCCCGCTGGGATCTCATCTGCCCCGCTTGTGCACAGCTGGGAAATGAAACATCAATAAAGTTACTTACCTTGAAATGTGCGAGATCACATCTCCCAAAGCATCTTGAAATGGTTTATATATATATTGTTGTTTTAAACCCTAAACCATTCACAATAGAGGTTTACGAAATGGTGTATACCAGTGTACCCCGGTGACTGGATGAAGCCTCCAAGAAAACAACCGTGCACACTTCCCCAGTGAAGAACATATCATAGACGATCTACCCTAAACGGTTATCAGAAGCTGGAAAAGCCACCATTGATGATGTTCCCAGCTATAAACCTTCATGAAAATAGGTTATTTTCCAACCACGTCGGCGTTTACCAGGGGGATCCAAGGGCTATGATTCATCGATTTCCAGCCGTCCAGTGGGAAGCCCAAAATCGCCGAACATCACATACCCCCTACGATGTCATCGTACATTGGACCATATTGTAAAAACCTATGGCGACACATGGTGGCTTGGGGATCCACCATTGTAGGAAATCTTTGAATACTGGTTGGTGGTGCAATTTCACCATCTTGAAAAATGATGGAGTTCGTCAATGGGAAGGGTTATCCCATCTATTGTGGAACATAAAAAATGTTTGAAACCACCAACCAGAATATATTAAACCCTGGCTAGTTTAGTAATATAGTTGACTTGACTACCTCTTTGTTGAAACCCCGGTCTCATACAGGTCGCCAAAATCGCGGGTATTTTGTCAATTTTGGTGTTGGGGACGGGGGTCAATTGCATTCAATGGTGAGAACACCGTTTTCATGATGGACGAGGCATCCTGCACCAGTTGGTAACTATTGGAAATTATGAACATCTGCAAATAATGTGATTACAAGGTGGTGCCCCCCAGTTATAAGTTGGTTTATAATCCCATTAACTATAGATATATCACCAACAAAAACCATAGTTATTGGAGTTATAAACCAACTTAGCTATCGAACCGGGGCACCACCTTGTAGAATGTGATTAGAATGGGATAAACATGGATAAACCATCTACCAATTGGTGCCACCGTCCATTTAGGGCCCACTTTTTTTTTCACTGTTCGCGCCTCCCCGTCATCCTATCTACACGACGGTCGCCCGGTTTCCATCGCCGTTGTCAGGATCGAGGGTCGACCATATTGAAACACCCCGGTTGGACACCCTGATGGACCCTCAACAAAGATCAACACACAAAAAAAGTGCCTGGTCCAAATGGTTATTCGAAACAAAAATGCCAGTGATCAATCAGTTTCCGAATTCAACTCGTCCAACAAAAAAAACTTCTGGAATCTTCTGGATCTGTGGATATTCATTTTGCTCAAACGTGAAGGTCCGTCTAGGTCCGTCTAGGTGCGGGCGGCTGGCCAGGGGCTAGCGCAGCTTTTGTGGCGCCCTGGCTGGAAACGAGGGAAGTCTGGGAAGCCCAACCTGCATGAGCTCCTGCAGATCCAGGATGGCTGCATATTTTTTCATGACATCAGCATTTTACCCTCTGGTAACTTAACATAGCTATGGAAAATGGATGAAAATGGCCCAGCTATACTTGATTTACCTCTTTTTTAAGTGGTGATTGAAACAATAGTTCTGTAAACGTTTACCAGGGGGTAACTAATGCCATCCCGAACAAACAGAGTTTATGATAAAATGTCACCAGTTCTGATGGGTCACATGTCTCAAAACCAGGAGAATGACAGGTACAGTACAGGTCTGTTGACATCTGTTTCATTCTTTTTCATTCTTTTTCCACTTTGGAACAGTCTGGCTCATGGTGAAGAATTGAACAACTGGCTCACATAGGGTGGGCTTCCCACTTTCCTTTTCACTTCGGACACCGCACCTTGAAATCCACCACGGCACGAAAAGGCGCCGCAAGATCGGTCGCGAACCGATGAAACGCTGAAGCGGAGTGAATTACAGTACCAATTGGCCTCCAAAACAATGAGAAGATAATGTGCTACTTGTAGGCTTGTAGGCTAGGGATATAGAATATCATAGAGAATCTCAACCTCAGATCAATAATTATAATAAACCCACTTTTGTTTTTTGAAACCTTATAGGGGGAATCCCCAAAATACCTAGACCTAGACCCTCCCGTAGTCATAGTCTAGTCCCTTTGCCCATTTACATGGGTACTTGGAGGGTACGGCTAGCCATAAGTTTCAAGTAACAATGGTATTACAATGGTATCAACTATCAGTAAAGCAGGTGTTTAAGACTTCCAGCTTGCATGGTCTAGTAGCCCCCCCCAGTCATGTACCTCTGGTTCCACTGCATCAAGTTGTTCGATATCTCTATCACAAACACTGGTCGCATTGGTATACATTGGTTCTAAACCAACTTTGGCTACAAAGGATGTCCATGGATCTTTGTTTTCTATGGAGACCAATGGTTCAGTTGAAATACTGCAGAGGTCAGGGTGTCGGCAGAGGATTGAAAGCACCTGATTTCTAGTTGGCTTTGGTTCTCTAGTCTCAATGGATTAGAAGGGAAAATTTACAGGAAAACCCCCATATTTCTGGGTAAATTATCATATTTCACTAACCTGAATTGTTGGGCCATAAAAGGGGAAGATTTCCCTTATTCATAAACCATGATGAACCAGGGTTCGGGAGAACAGGGTGCGGTCGTGATGAAATTTACCCAGATCTATTGATAGATTATTGATATCCTCATTGATATTTGAAATCTATACATGGGATAATCCCCATTAACCCCAGGATAATCCCCATTATCCCCAAATATGTGTGCAATAGGACCATCTATGGTTCCCTGTAGATTTTCCCATAAACCAATGTTGGATGAAATCCCACAAGCTTCCCCGAAGTTTGGTATATTGGCATAGTCATGAAAAGCATGACTATTATCCCAGATATATAATTTATCCCAGATATATACATATAATATATATATAATATATATATATATAATATATATATATAATATATATAGCATTTAGGTTATTTTGCTCATGATATTGAAATGGCTTTGACAGTGTATTTCAGCACTTGTTTCAATGTTTCGGGCTGTTTTTGACACCTCCAAAATGGTCCATCTCCCCATTTTGGCCACGCCTCAGGCCATCTCAATTTCCGCCATTTCGGCGTCTTCGGCCAGAATGGTCCAATCTGACTCTGAGATCTCAGAACCTCCATCAAAGCGCCCGTGAAAAACGTGCATGACACATATGACACGCTACGTCGTACGTGAGTAGACTGTTGGCTCTATATGGGGGGGTTCCTAAGTCATAGGGGTACCCCCCCGTTTTCATCCATGTTAGGTTGGGATTTTCCATGAAATAAACCATCTATTTTTTGGGTACCCCATGTATGGAAACCCCCAAAAGGCCATAATATGGATCTTGTGATGTTATGATATATCTGATGGTTTGTGTGGAATGTGAATCAGAAAACGCAGGATGTGACATATGATTCAAACAAATGAAGGATCCTCAAACGAATTGGTTTTCTGATGTTTCTGGTGGGCAAAACTGGCTATGCTTATACCCCGTTGTTTCATTGGGATCTACTTGGATATATTATATATACATAACCAACAATAATGTGGTTGACATCTCCATCCTGAAACCATCGAGTTCACTTAATTGTCCATGTGGTTTCAGGTTTTGGTATGTTTGGCTGTTTCCACTAAAAGGCTTTAGATTTAGGTTTTGAGGTTTGCACCTCAAAATCTCTGCTAAGATCAAGAGCAACTAAACAAGATGGGCTGCTTGTCCACCAAGTTTCATAAACAAAATAAAAATACAAACTGGAAACATTAGCATATCACCATCATTCAGGGTCACAGTATGTCTAGTACATTCTAGTACTAAGCACTTCATCTTGAGGACTTTGCAATTGGAACTCCATGGTGGTGTTGATCCTCGTGGGTTGCTACACTACCCATTTTTTTCGCTGACGTGCACTCTATGCTTTCGTTTCAGGGTCAAAAAATGAGCTACAATGATTTATACTGGACCAAACTAAGGTACGCTTTTCAGTTTCTCACTGTTTCGGTGCTTCATTTTGCTAACAAGCGGAGAAAAAAAAAACAGACTTTCCTGCTCCTCCGTCTTGATCAACTCACCATTTTGGTTGGAGTTCCCAATGGTTTCTGATAAGAAAGAACACCTCTTCCCATCTCTTCCAACGCCTTTTTTCTGATTGAGTCTGCACTTCTGGTGAAGTTAGAGAACTTCTGTGATTAAATCTGAATTCCATCTGTGCCCATTAACTCGTTATCATTGAATTATATACTAATCCTATATGAATACTATAATTCAGAATTATATCCACAATAAACCCTAGTTAACCAATCAGTGGCCATTTCAAGAACCTAAATTGAAGGTACTGACCATATTAATAAGGTCTAAATTTCAGGGCTAAAAAAATCAGGGGAGTGTATCTCCAAAA